TTCATCGTCATTTGTAATGATTCTGCTGCATTTGGCATTTGAGAAAAATTTGAAAGTTGATTTCTTGTTATTTCGTGTTGTTGAAGATAATATGGGAGTGGTATTTCATTTTGCATTTGTGCTGGTTGGTACGAGTTTGCAATCATTGGGTTTTGTTGCGGAATTGGTTGAAAAGATTTATTAATTGGGTTTTGTTGTTGAATTGGTTGTTGAATTTGTGTATCTATTGGTTGTGGAGAAAAAATTCTATGATATGTATGTGGTTTCTGTATTCCTTGTCCACGATATTCTTGATTATAGGGTGTAAATATATCTGGTTGTAAGAAATCATCATCTGAGGATAAGTAATCCATTTGATAAGATGTTTGTTTTTTATTTTTATTTTGTTGAAAAAATGGATAGTTTTCACTACGATCCTGTGGAGGATGTAAATTTGTGTGGAAATTTACTGAATTAGGTGGTGCCATTGGGTTATCCCAGTTTCGAGATCTTGTATAATTACTAAAATTTTTTCGTGGTTGATAACTTGTTTTTGATGGATGTGTGTAATTATAATTATGGTCTGCAAAGTTGTTTCTAGTGAACGTTTTGCGTGTTTTTGGCGGTATTGTCATGGGTCTGTATGTTTGGTAATCCATGTGTGAATATTTTGGAGCAACCGAAGGTTTAACGGTTGATTGTAATGTTACCTGTGTTTGTGAAGAATTTGTATTTCTTGGTGTTGTTAAGTTTGGACGTATTGGTGAAATACTTTGTTGTGTAGTTGTTGTGTGTACGATTTCTTCATTTATGAAGTGTGATGGTGTCTGGATATCTTGTTGAGTAAGATTCCTAGTTCCATTGAGGTTTTCATTGTGTATGACTGTAGAGTTTAAACTATTATTTTGCATATCGGGTAAAAATGTATTATAGTTTAATGGTGTTGCATCAATGGTTAATGGTATTACTCGTACATAATCTCTTACATAAGATATCGTACTTATTGCTTGACTTGAGATTGATTGTGGGAAGTTTATGAATGCGGGATGAGACCATTCGGGGTCCCAAACATAGTCTGATTGTTCTGTGATGGCAGTATCATCGTTGGAGTTTTGGGGTCTAAAATTTTTTCTTGCTTGTGAAATTAAATCAATATTATGTGTGAAATAATCTATTATGAACCATGCCAAGATTTTTTGTAAGTCGTGTTTTGTATGTTGTGAAACTTCATCTTTCGTGAAATTTTCTTTAATTATATTTAGAAAACTAGAGAGTAGTGTGATTTCATGTCGTACTCTTATATGTTTAGATGTTTCTGTTGGTGAGACATTTGGTATCTGGATTTCGTTTTCTAATATCGAGATATAACTATATATTATCGCAAAAACTTCATTGGTGAATATGGAGTTTGCTCTTTGTGAGTTATTATATTGGATGCTTTTTATATATTCTGAGAATATTTTTGAGAATTCTAAATCAAGGTCGTCTGTTTGAATTATATATTTACTGTGATTCTGGTTTGGTGAGCTGAATTCTATGGAGTAGATTCCGTATTGTTGTGTTAGGTTACATATATCTTTTAGATAGTGATCGATAATTTGTCTTTTGATTTTTACATCTGGGAACTCTGTTTTACATGGACTGATTCCGGGTTCAAACAAATTTACGAGTAAATTTTGACAAAATATGTGTTGTCCTCTATCAGTATCTGCATCTACTATAAAAGGAAAGATTTCATCATCATCTGGAGTTTCTTCACCTGGGGTGTGCGTTGAGCTCATTTTTTCGTTCGATGACTGTTAATATGTAATTATCAATGTGTCTAATTGGTTGATTCCAATTGTATAAATGTACTGGTTTGTGTTTATACTGCTTTTTTATTCTTCTTTTTCCTCTTTTTGATGAATTTGAAGTTGTTTCTGAGTCAGAGAAATATAATTGATCGTGGATTGGGCAATTTTTATCTATTGATTCTTTTAGTTTATAAAGTTCGTCTAAACTGTTGGTTTCTGATTCTGAAAATGCGTTTCGATTTTTTGAAAATCTTTTTCGTGTTATTTGTCTTTGTTTAGTTAGTATTTTTCTCTTTAATGTTTGTCGTTTTGTTCTAATGTATCCAACTGTTTGTGTATGAGGTGTGATTACAAGGTCGTATTTTTTGTTATTTATTTCACAATTGTGTAAAACGATTGTTTGTTTATTTCCTAGGTTTTTAAATGACATAAGGTTTAGGATGACGGATGCAAAAGGTTGTTAAATGATTTCTATTTGCTTAAACTGTTAGTCCTTACGATTTTTTTGTTAGCCTAACCTGGGTCTATTTGTTCAGGGTTGGGGAGAAAAGTATATCGATTCCGAAGAATGATTTTATACTTTCTCGTGGCTAGTATAAGCTAAGGTGTTAACTTACTTAATCTTACTTAAGGGTAGTGATTGTGTTCAGGGTTGGAGAATAGTAAATCGATCCACAGGGTTCAGGTATAATTAGAACGCGAGTAGTTCGTTAGATACTATTTTAAACTTACTAAGTCTAAGATTTATCCTGGGTCTGGTAAGAGGGGGGATCAAGTGAAGGATGAATAACCGAAGTTCTTCACTGTTTATCCTAATTTGAATGATTAGTTTTGTTCAAAAATTTCTATTAGTCCTGGGTTTTTAGAAAGGGTTGGATAGTGAATCGACGTTTGAGGTCGTTAGACACTCGTTTAAGTGGGTGGGGGAGAACAAAGTTGTTCTTTTTGATCCAAGGATAGGCCTTGATGATCAAGTTTTAAATTTAATTAAATAGAAAATGATTTAAGATCCAAGGATAAGCCTTGATGATCTGATTTTAAAATTAAGTGAATTTAAGTTTAAAATGTTTTAAATTTGTGTAAAGAATAGAGTTAGTATTTTTATGATATTAGTGAGCTTATGATTGCTGTTATGTTTAGGCGATGAAGCTGGAACAACAGGATGATTTATAATTACTAATCATTTATTGTCATGCTACTAATTTTTATTTTGATTTTTCAATAAATATTTTTCAAACATGTTTTGTATATTACTGCAGAATTTTGGAAAACGATCTGAGATCTTTTTATCAATCGTTATTGTATATTAATAATTTTGTTTAGCGCCTGAAATGATTTTGAAGATTGACTTCAAAATTTTATGTTTGCAAATGAAAATCTAAATTCATTGCTAGTAGTATTCTAAATACAAAAGTTTGTTCTGGCTTTTGCCGAACTATCATATAACTATATGGTAAATTTCTGCTTTGTCGTATGTCGTCTCTGGTTCGAGGTCTTCTTCCAATTCCGGGTAGTTCTGTTATCGTTCGGAATATTGGCTCTGATCTATTGAGTCGTAGAGACATTTCGATTAAATTATTGTCGTATAACATTTTGTAAATGTTTTGTCTAATTTCTAATCTATTATTGGTTAATGCTAAGCTATTAAGGTCTTGTTCGAGACTTATGGTCGCACCAGATGAGTTAGGACCGAAGTGTATAACTCATAGAGTAATTTCGGATAGGGTACACCGTCTGCTCGTCACGCTATCTTATTTTCGGCCGGATAGATTCGTGCAACTTCTTAGTCTAATACCGATCATAATCTTACTCTTATACTATCTAGTCTCAGGTTGTTTAACTAGTCTCTGCTAGGCTCAATAGATCTAGGGTATACTGGTTTATTGCGGTTGCTGAAGTACTCGGGAGAGTTCAACTAATTTCTAAGTTAAATTCAAATCTCTCTGGTGCTGAAATTACAAGTAATTTCAGCACTTACAAATAAGTGGATTGTTAGTTAGATGGATCATGATTGGTTAATATTAAATACTTTACATTGGTAAAATATCTAATTTATCCAATCATAAAATGTAGTTTAGATCAGGTTCCAACTATAATGTTAATAACAAAGATTTCACAACATTTTTTGAAAAGTAAAAAACGAAACCATTTACACAAACTGAATAGGCGTTGAGAGACCAGTGTGTACTAATAGCTTCGATACTCTTCAAGTTAGCAATATTGTAGAAACATTTAATGCATTTGTAAAAAAAATGCGGTCTTGATTTTAAATCTCAATTTGCGTTTAGTAAGCTGAAGAATAAATTTGTTCACTGGTTACTGCTTCATGGGTTCAGTTGGGGTCCTCTGTGAACAAAAGTCTCCATCATGTTATACAAGGATTATGGGTTATAGAGACTCTAGACACAGGTCACAGTTAGTAGAAGCAATAACCATAGAGTGAACATGTTCAGGATTTTAAATAAACGGGTAACAGGGGCCTACGACTAGCAAATTTCTGTACCAAAACTTCTTTGCTAGTGCAGTTTGCAGCATAAATAAGATCTCGTGTTTCCTTTTCCATTTTATAAGATCAATGAAATGGTAAAAAAATTGACTATTGCTAACAAACGTGGCACTAAAGGGCTTCACTTAAGACTAAAAAAAAACTTTGAGTTTTTGTTCAAAAACCAAATCAGTTAAATTTTTCATTCGCGAGCTGTTTTTGTTTCTCTTCGGAAAAAATCTTCTTTGTAACATCGGGGTAAGCGTCACGAAGGCGAATGCCTGTGGCTAATCCTAGGCGGAAATGCTTGCTATCTTCAATTTAACCTCTTTTTATTGTAATAATTTTTTTGCCAAATTTGTTACGAGGATTTTATTTTGCTGAAATTTTATTTGTATACTTATAATTCTATTTTAAAAACAGCTATATATTGAATTTAGTTTTGAATATTTGAAATTTAAATCAAAATTGTTGAAATGAGTTTTTTTAATGAGTTTTCAACTGAATATTTCTCCTGTATTGACGCTTCCAAAATGACCAAACCAACTTTTTTCACTCGCCTCTCGCCACGGTCGATTCTAAAATTTTCTTGAGGGGAAGGGGGTTTGAATTTTCAAGGAAAGTTTTAAAAATTCTGATAGTTCCCCATTGAATATATTTCGAGGGTAATGATTGTTCAAGATCTTAGACATCATAATGGCTGATTGTTATCCACCTTTGTCATTGCGGATGGTGTGTTTTAGCTGACGCCTTGGCCGATGCGGCGCGAGAGAAGGAGGAGTTGAAGGCTAAATTGAATGACAAGACCACGAAGGAAAAGGAAGTGTCCACTCTCAAGGAGGCCCTCGTGGACCTGCAGAAACTGAACGAGGAGCTGGGCAACGAAAAGATACAACTAAACCAGGTACAAGACAAGGCGATCACAACAATCAAAGCTATTTTCAACAATTTACAACTATTACAAAAATTTACCAAAATACAGTTTTTTTAAAACAAATGTTAAAAAATTATTAGAAATTGCTGCTTAAATAGAATCTCTTCAATAATATTCCCCTTTTTGCAAAAGGGGAACACTTCGAAACACCTAATAACGAATTTCAGGATATTCGCTATAAGGTATAAATTTTTATATGCTTAGCCGTTGATTTATTGTTCCGACTTTCGATACGAAAGTAACGGAATATTTGTGCTCGGGGTGGGTTTTTTTTTCTTCAGACAAATTTCGACTTTTTAAATAGCCAATTCTGACGGAATTTTTTATATCATTCAAAAGGTATTGTTGTCCTGAGCTCAAATTTGAAAAGATATTTCACCTGTGGTCATTTTTCGTAAAGTTATGAGGGTTTAAAGATTGCCATTTTGGCCAATTTGGGACAATTAACGGGCGATGTATTTCGCGCTATTAACGCGTAAGCGGAGAGTTAATCCGTCTTAGAAATCGTTCCAAATTGGTTGAACGAAGCTTATTTGCCATAATTGATTTGTTACAAGGATCGAAATCTATCCTTTTGTACTTTATATGGCGGGTGGGGGGATGATTTTCATAAAAAATTTCAAATTTTAGAAAAAAAAATTTTTCATTTTGTTTTGTTTCATTGAATTTTTTAATGTTATTACTGCTCCATAAACCTTAAAAGGCAGTCGGAACATTCAGGGCTTCGCCCTGATACGAGCAGTCTTGTTTCTTTATAGGGGGATATTTGTTACTAGGTATCCGAAGGGGATATAGTTAAAAAGATCACTTACATGTATGCTTCTAGGCTCGCTAAAGTGAGAAGTATAAAAATTTTCAGTATAATCTGAAATTTTTTTCTAAAATTTTTTCAGTTTTGATATTGAGCCTTTGATAATGATTCGACAATACGGAAATTGTTCTTATTTTCATAATAATTTTAATACTTTTTTAAAGTTTGTTTTGGTTAAATCATTCATTTGATTATTAAAAGCTTTGCTGCTGCAAAATTGAGGTTATTATATCAGCCTGTACAACATCAAGTGCGGTATTTTTAAGTTATCAACTTTGTATTTTAACGGTTTATGATCTGGTTAAAAGTCAATTTTTTCCTTAGGCGTTCCATCCGTTCCTGAATGTGATATCAGGGCTACAAACTGAACTGGCGGCTGCGGCTCTGAGCCAGGGCGAGACCCAAGCTGAGATGGCTAAGCGGAATTCGGAAGTGAGCCGGATTAGAGGGGAGGCTAAAGAATGGGAGAGTGAACACTACATGTTGTCGGAACAACTCAGTTATGCAGAACGGACGATTGCAGATCTGAATGATTCAGTGAGGAAACTGGACCAGGAGAATACTTCATTGAAAAAGAATCTAAAAGAGGTGAGTCTCTGGACAACAATACGGAAATTGTTTTTAATAGTGTTTTTTTTATATATAAAATTGACGAAGTTTGCGAGAAAAAAACCTGACTCGGAAAAAGTTTACTTGGAAAAAAAATCGAAAAAACGGTGTGTAAGTTTTTATTTTTGCTTGAAAAGAAAAATATGGGACCAAGTTAACATCCTCGCTCAAAGAATTTTTTTGGTGCAGGAGGGGGGAGTGTTTGGAGGATGTTAACTTTGTCCCTTAATTTTTGAGCAAAAATATGGGACCAAAAAGTTAACATCCTCCCCCAAAGAAACGTTTTTTTGGGAGTGGGGGGGGGGGGTATAATACAGTCACAAAATTTTTGAAAATACAGTCACAAAAGCCGTTTTTGGGCATTTTTTGAAAAATTTTGGCAAAAAAAATCGCGTTTTTTTGGCGCGCGCTCCCCCTCAAAGTTAGTATATATTGGCGCCAAAGGCGCCTTTAGAAAAAACGGATTTCTGAAAAAGTATCAAAGGGGGACCCTTTGGGTCGGCAGGGGGTCGAATCCCTGGGTGGGGATGTTAACTTTAATAAATTTAAAGTCATTTTAGTCCATCGTCATATTTAGTACAAAAAAGGGTAGAGATCGAATTTTTTGAGACGTGTAATTCAAAAAAGGGGCAAACTATAGAAATTTAAGATTTCGCTCTGTTGATAATTTGGAAAAACATACCTTGATTAATCAAATTAAAAGCCCTTTTTTCTTAATCCACGCTGAGTCGTAAAATCTATTTTTCCTTGTGTTTTTTAGAGTGAGCGAACTAATAATGCCCTGGCTGATGAACTACGACTGGCAAAGAGTGAACTGCTGACATGTGGGAAGGAGATGGAGTCTCTCTCCGCAGAGAGAGGTCAGTTGAGGTCAAATAAATTGGATCTGGAGCTGAAGTTAGAGGAGACGAAACAAAGACTGCAACAGCAGGCGGAGGCCAATCAGAAGGCAGAACTGGCAAAGGTGCTCACTTTTCGAATGGCAATTGTTTTGGTGAAAACGATATGGTGATTTTGCACGAAAGCTTTGGATAAAAACAGCGTAAATGATAATGATTCGAAAAATTTGACGTGAAAAGTTAAATTGATTTTTTTGCAATAGGGCGGGTGGTTTTTCAAAAAAATAATAAAACCGCGTCTTTCTTAAGTTTATTTTAAATTTATTTTTTTGTTTTCTGAAGATGAGCATCCCTGAAATCTTCAATTCGCTCTTTTTACCGATAAAAAAAAACTAAAAATTGACTGCTTTTTTGTTTAAGCCGTGTTTTGACGACGCCAAAACACTGCTCGTAATGTCAAAAGTAGAGTCAAACTCGATTCGAGTATATCTTTTCTTAGACATTTTTGTCTTAATTTTGTTTGGTGTTTATGTTTCAGGACTACTTGGAGGCGAGTGTGACAGAGGGCAACTATGCGAGGAACAGACTGGCAGCCACCCAGAGAGACCTCGAGGGTGAAGTGAGGGAACTCAAGGCCAAGGTCGACCGGGAACGCGGTAAGCTTACATTTGACTCACAAATATCCTTTTGTAATGTAAATTGCTATACGGTCTCTAATTTAAAACACGGGGTGGGGGGGGGGGGGGGAGCTGTGCATGAAGTTCAGTTTTTTTTCTGGGAGTCGATAAAAAAGCTGTTGGTAAGTTGATATATGGACAAACACTTTTGCTTGTCAAAATCTTTCCTAACTGTAAGGACTGAATATCTGATAAATAAATCGTCTGCAAATCATATTTATTTCCATGTAAATCGCATGTTTCCCCCAGAGAATGGAATGTGGCAGAAGCACAAACTGGAGACAGAGTTGAGTGAGAGAGTGAAGGAATTGGAATCTATAAGGACACAATTGAGCAGACAGGAGGATGAGCAGACCAAAAAAGAACAGACGCAGAAGAAGAAGCAAAATGAAGAGAGAGTCAAGGCTAATGAAGAGAAGGTACGTCATATTATAACAGGAATTGCAGGCTGTAACAGGAATTGCACGTCATATTATAACAGGAGTTGCATGCACAACTGAAGATTTTAATCGCATTTATATTAGAAAAAAAAACTTTTTTTTTTTGCTTTGTTTCTTCAGTTTTGTACCATTTACTGTGCGTGGTGAAAGAGATGACAAATAATGACTTCAATTATTCTATTAAGTGAGTAGAAAAATATCAAAAAGAGCATGTTTCTTCAGATGTATTTTAGAATGTTTCAATTTTTTTTTAACCAAAAACGCGCCAAGGGAAACTCAAAAACTGACATTGACAGTTAAAAACTATGTTTTGTATCTTAACTAAAAAAATTTCTCTCGGCCTTGCCTAGTTTAAGTTTAATTTTTTTTTTTCGAACCAGTTTTTCTCGACACCGAAAATTAGTTTTCAAAACTTTTTGTGCGGATCATTCTACAATAAAAGGTCTTTAATTATTTGATATGCCTGATTGATTTACTAGGAAAAATTAAGTTAAAAAAATCTAAAATATTCGATTACCAAAATGCTTTTTTTTCCCATTTGGAGGTTAAAACAATAATAATTCTATTGCTTGGATGTATTTTTCTTGGCCATATTTTTTCGGCTGGTTTCCCTAAATTTTTTTGTCCAATTTCTTTTAGTACGAAGCAGTGACGAGAAAATTTTTATGACATTTCAGTTTATTTTTCTGGCGATGAATTGAAAAGGATTCAAGCTTGAAGTAAGTGTTTTTGCAATCTTAAGACCATTTATCCACGGTGGAAAGGACCAACACAAGAGCTGTACAGCTCATCACGGCGAACCGCTGTTGTGCCTCTGTTTAAGAACTACATACAATTTTTTTGGTTTTTTTTCTGGGCTGGGTAATGTTGTTTCACCCTCAAGCAACGAGCACGGATCATGGTGGGCCTCGAACATCCGACTTTTCGATTGAGAGGCGGAGACGCGCACCACTTCACCACCGCTTCCTTTACCACAATCTAAAAGCCTGCTTTGGATACAAGATTTTCACACGGTTTTCCAGTAAATTAACTGATTTCACGGATTTTTTTGCAATTTGTTTGAACGTTGAATAATCGTAGTTCGCATAATTTGTCTTCGCTGTAGGAAGTTTTTAAAATTAAAAAAAGTTATAACTTACAGAAAAATGTGCGGAAAGATGTATGAGTTTCTTTTGTATTCAAAAATGTTTACTTTTACCAATTAACAAGACTTTAAGGTCAGTGCCGAGAATGCGAATCCTTTTGGCTGACCACAGGCTGGCCATAGACAGAGGCTGACTAAAGACATTAGACAGAAGAAAAATGTTTCCGCAACTGGCGTGACTTTCACGAAAGTTGCTATTTTTACTTCAATTTAAAATGATTATACTAAATTTATGATTTTCACGACATTTTTGACTTTTTTGTTATCCGGTTAAGTAATACTTGTTTTAAATTATAAAAAGTTTGCTTCTCATAAAATTTCAGGGTAATTTCTGTGGTCTGTTGTGTCTGCTTGTCTGTTTCCATTTTTTTGACATTTTAAGCTCGCTTATTGTGAGATGAGGTCCTTCAAAATCAATAAATTAGCTCTAGGTATCGTTTCTCGGATCCTTAATTGCGATCATGCGTAGCTTCTAAGTCTGCCACGCAAATCTAGACTAACGCAGGTAACTTGCAGAGTTCTGCGCGACTTAATTTCAGCATGTTTCTGCCTTTCTAGTCTGTTTCGAATAGTTTTCAAGACTATATCGCCACTAAATTGCAGACTATTGCGATTTAATTCCAGACTATGGCGACTTAATACGATATGTCCAAACTTCGTCCACGACAATAAAAACCCGTCCAGACTACGAGTGTTCGGTCCCGGAATTAAAATCAGCGCGGAACCATTAATATCTGAAGCTAAGTTGCCACTTCAACCCCGGTAGTCTTATTTTTTCAACCTACTTAGGAATCTCTGTTGCGTGACTTCGACAATCAGAAACTAGTTCTGAAGAGTGAACATGAACAAGAGTTGAAGATACTGAAGGACAAGTTGGAACAGGAGAAGTCCGCTGCTGCCTCTGAGTTGAGATTGCGACTAGAGGCCGAGAAAGAAGACCTCGTCCAACTGTTCAATGTCGACAAACTCAGTGCCAACATGGTCCAGGTCAGCTCACTATGTTCAGAATATTGTTAACATAACAGGCTGACAGATTTTTTAAAACTATCAATAGCGGTCCTTAGCATTATACTTACTTTTTATTGTCCTTCATATCAAGCGCCGCTCCGCTAAATTCTAGCTTTATTTTTTTTTCATTTGCGTTATTTTGCTTGCAAACTGAACTTTGTTGATTTTTGCGGCCGTTTAGATAGTCGCTGAATTGTTTGATCATCAATTTTTAGAGCTGCTCACGACTCAACAGTTTTTTTTTCTCAATCTAGATCTTCAAATACAGCTCGCTTTAATAACTAAATAAACGTCACCCTTATTGTTTTTTTAAGAACCGCTCAGTGTTTGAAGATCTACGTTGAGAAAAGAAAGTGATCATTGAGTCGCGAGGAGCTCTAAAAATAGATGATCTTTCAATTCAGCGACAATTAGAATGGAGGTTGCAATTTAGGAGAAACAGAAGGACCAGATGTATGAACAGATTAAGGCCTCCAAGCAGAAAGTGGAGGACCTGGTCAGAGAGCAGAATCAGCTGAAGGAGAGACTGAACAACCAAGAAGATGAGACGAGGACCAAACTGGCGGAGAAAGAGGACCATGTCAGGAAACTCAAGAACGCCATCGAGGAAAAAGAGTGGGTGGAATTCGATAAATATATCAAAACTCCCCAAAACAGTCCCGGGTGCCAGCCTATGTTTCATTTAGTCGACAAATTTTATGAATGTTACGACCGTCTCGAAAAAAATGAGTATTAATCGACTTGGTGTTCGACTTAAAATAGATTCTCGCACAGTTTTGATTGTTACGTCTCAACAATTTTGTAGCTCAGTGTCATTAAAAACTCAATTATGATCTATTAGTTGTAAGTTTGTGAAGTTGTTCAATCTGTGAGCAGACTCTAAACAAAGTGAGGTGAATTTACCTTTAAAAGTAGCTTAAGTTACCTCAAGGTTAAGGCAAAATATGCTCAATGCTCACCTTAACTTTACCTCAAGCCAGCTCAACTACTCTCTTAACTCACCTCAAGTTTACCTTAAAACTTGTAGGGGAATTACCTTAAAGTTTATCCTATGTTACCCCAAGTTTACCTGAAAAAGTTACCCTAAATAACAAAGTAAAACTACTCTAAGACACCTAAACTATTACCTTCACTCACCTCAACTTTACACTAAGACTTATGAGGTGAAATTACCTTGAATTTTACCTTAAGTTATCCCAAGTTTAAGCTGAAAATTTACCTTAATTGTGTTGTGCCACAAAAATATCTCAACTTTTCTTAGAGTGCACAAGTTCAAATTTTAGAGAGAAGTTTGGGTCTCTTGCAAAATATTCCGCAGGGAAATTAAAAAATTTTCGATTAAATATTGGTTTTCATTTTTTTTTCGCAAGAATACGGAAAAATCCAATGAAATGTCGAATGATCGAACGTCCGAAGGCTATTTGCGAACGAATGCTGTACTAGCAAATACAAACAAATAGGGCCAAAAAAATCCACTCATTGAATATGTGTTTCTTGAAAAAATATATTAAAAACCGGTCAAGTTTTTTTTCATAAACTGCATTACTTTCTCAGCAAGACTTTGAGATCAAGAAAACCACTCAGACCCTTGAAATATTGTTTCGGACTCGTTATTTTATATTCATGCAAATCGCAAAACCTAATTATGATTTCGATGATAAATGATTTCGATTATGATTTCAATCTAGTCTAGATAGTTATTATTTCATTTTGAAATTAGAGATGACTGCCGACACTTGGAACGACAGATGGGAGAGGAGGTGCGGAAGAGGGAGGAGAGGTTGGGGGAGTTGCGGAGGGAGAAGGGGGAGTTGGAACTGGATCTAGCCAGAGTGAGCGAGGCCAGACAGAGTGCCAGAATGCAGTTGATGGAGACACAGAAGCTGCTCAAATCAGGTCAGCATATGAGAAAGAAAAACACAATTGCTTAACATATTCACCCATATTTGCATTTGAATCGCAAAAATCAATGTGCTATATCAATGGGAAAATCTCCGACTCTTCACAAATGGAAGCGTGTTTACCCAAACAACAGATCCATGGATAATATGTAATTATGTTTGCGTTTCATTGTCTGTCTCTAATCGATTAAAAATGGATTATATTACTATAATCTAATAAGGCAGAAAAATCCATGGTAAATCAACTATAATCCACTGAAGATATATATTTTTTCATTTTACCCACGTCGGCTAAGTGAACAAAACTTGAAACATTGAGTAGGTTTAGAATTTGTGTAGGCCGTAGGATATGAAGTTTTTGGCAATCATATGAAAAATTTCTGCATCAATCAAGTATATTATACAAAAGTATTATACATTGTCGCACAATGCATTACAAATTCAAGTTACAAGAAAACTCATTTTAGAGAATTTGAATTGGATTAGCTTCATTTTCAGTTAAAAAAATAATGGATTTTGATCAAATACAATCAATTTGATATCTGATGAGACATGGAAATGGAATATTGAAAAAATTTAGAACATGACAAAAATGCAATAAATTAATTAACGAGCCAGTCCAAAATTTCCTCAAATTTTTTGCTAATTAGGCTGAGAGAAGCTTCAACAATGCACGGCATAGTTTTTAGAAAAGACATTTATTGATGTTTTTTGATTTCCACAGCAATCTGGGACGGCTCCAATTTACAATATTTGTTATCGAAAATCCAAAAATATTTTTAGGCAATTTTTTTAACCAATTACTATTGGAGACCATTTACATTTGGTTGATACATTTGGTTGAGTGATGTATCATATTAGAGCTCTTTCAGTCATGATTCGATTTCAAAAAAACTTTTACAGTGTTGAGAAAAAGCGGTTTGAATTTTTTGGTCTAATTTCGAGCTAACTAGTAAGGTAGTTAGTAATGCATTAGCTTATTTAAGCGTAAATTTAATCGTGAAAATTTTGTATTACTCAAGTAAAGGTAGTCTTATGAGTTTTATAGCGCAATTTTGGAACTCAAAATCATGAAAATTCGAAAAACTTCCGCAAAAAACTTTGAAAAAACTCTTTGAAAACACTTTGAAAACACTGTTTTCCAATTTACATATTTTGGTATAACTCTCAAAAATACCTATGTTTTTTTTGTTCAGTTTTGCAGAAAAAAAACGACACCAATTTGAGAAAACATTTTTGTATTTTTTTAGATTGTGATAGGAACATTCTGTGCTACTTGCACAGTAACCGGCTTTGCTTGTTTTTTTTGCTTCTTGTTTTCCACGCAAAATCAGCAGCCACAATTAATGAATGGGCCAAAATTTTCAAAATTTTTCCCCAGTGTCGAGAAAAACCGGTTCGAACTTTTTAATTGTTTGTCTTAATTCGAGCAAACAAATTAAGCGAGCAGGTTTACCAGCTGACTTATGCCTAATTTAAAACCTTATAACTTAAATTTAAGCATATAAAACTAGTTTTTGGAGTTCTTACCTTCATTTTAGGAACTAAAAATCTCCAAAACATAGAAACTTTTTTGTAAAAGTTTTTGAAAGTTTTTTTTAAAGATTTTCTAGTCATTTTTCTAAACTTTTCGTCCATATTGCCTATATTATTTTGACTGTCTAATACGCCTAAATTTCATCTTACGTCAGATCCCACCAAGCAGAAAAAACTACACTTTTTTGGAAAATAAACACTTTCTAAACCGTAGTTTTCTTAAGACTATGGTCGGAACATTCGGTGCTACTTGAACAGTAACCGGTTACCCTTGTTTTATTTTGAGTTAGACCAACAGTAAAAGTTCAATTACTACAGCGTTACTACCCGGACTTGAATAAGAATCGACTGTACTGGATTTTAGAGATAAAAATATTGGACAAATTAATCAATAAAGATGCAAACTTTGAAACTCAAAACCATATGTAATGGATTATCGTCAAATTTGAGTCACGCCCATCGCTCAACCATAACTCCCTTCAACCATTAAATACCCCTCGGTCAGCGATTGAACCAACTACTTGATTTTAAGGAAGGTGAAGGAATTGGGAGTATTGCGATAGCAGCGGTTGACGAATTACGTTTTTTCACCATGGCCAGGGTGAAAAACAATTAAAATAACTTAATGAACTGCCAAATTGAAAAAGTAGAGAAAATCTAAAAAATAGATAGCACTATCTGAAAATTAAAAGAGTTTTTGAAATGTAAGAAGCAGCAATTGGACTAAACAGGAAATGAGACAACTTTGAAAAAAAAAACAGAACATTTTGTCAATAATCTCTAAAAAATTCATCTAATCGAACATAAATGATTATAATGGCCCGCATTCAGTAAAAAGAGAAAATAATAGATTATGATGGGTTTTTATTCCGGGGCGGATATAGGGGGGGGGGGGGGCGGCGAGGCGGACGCCCCCCCCCCTCTCCCCCCTCAGGGATTCGATCCCCTGCCGACCCAAAGGGTCCCCCCTTTCATACTTATTCAGAAATCCATTTTTGGCCGACCGACCCTAAAACTTTTCTAAAGGCGCCTGCGGCGCCAATATATACTAACTTTGAGGGGGAGCGCGCGCCAAAAAAACGCGATTTTGTTGTCAAAATTGTTCAAAAAGTGCCCAAATAGGGGCAAAACAGTGCTTTGAGAGAGCTCGAAAAATCAATTTCGTCGACCTAAAAAAAGAGGTCGTCAAAATTTTGGAAATTTTTTTGAAAATCCCCCCCCCCCTCGAGAAAATCTTAGATCCGCTCCTGTTTTTATTGTCAGTCTCCATAAATTTCAAAAACAAGAGATTAAAATCGATTAAAAATGGATTATAAGGTTACTTTTTTTTGAAACAAAAAGCCCAATATAATCGATTATAATCGATTATAATCGATTAATTTTTGATAAAAAATTATTTCTGAATTTTTTTTTGAATCCATTTTAATCGATTATAATCCATTTTTATTCAAAAAACGTCATCGCTTCATTTCATTTTATTTTTGTTTTGTTTTGTGTGCTTTTCAGTTGGTTTCATTTCTTATTGTTTACTGTTTACTTTATTACTGTTTACTGCAAGGACGGATTTAGGGGGGGGGGGGGGGCGGACGCAGTTTTTTAGGGATTCAGCCCCCTGCCTACCCAAAGGGTTCCCCCTTTGTACTGTTTTGTGATATCCATATTAAGTGACGGACCCTCTGGTCTTTGGCGCCAACAAAAACTAATTTTGGGGGGAGTGCGCGCCAAAAAACGCGATTTTTTGGTGAAATTTTTCCGAAAAAAGCCCAAAAAAATGATGCCATTTTTGGCCTGTTTTTTCAAAAGTTTGCCTGCGGCGCACAAAATTTGGCCAAAACAGGGTCTTTTTATCTGCCCCCACCCTTCGAGAAAATCTAATAACCGCCCCTGGTTTACTGATTTCTTACTTCTTACTGATTTTTACTGTGTTTTTATGCAGAATAGCTATATTATAATCCATTATATTTCATTTTTCTTGTAAAATAATATTTTGATAGAAAAAGGGATTATAATATATTATATTAGGTTATAATAGATTATAAGAGATAATAATAGATTATAAGATATTTTAGGAAAAATTATAACCAATTATAACTGATTATAGTTTATTAAAATGTCACAAAAAATGTTATCAAATTAATGGATTATAAATCGTTTAAACATCTAAAATTGGCGCTTATAATTAATAATAATTTTGCTTAAAAAACGATTATTATTATAGTACAATCGATTATTTTATCTTTTTACTGAGTGCGGGGGATTATATTGATAAAACAAAATGGAATTATGATACATTTTGTATCGATTATAATCGATTATATTTTGAGTTTATTGAAAATGACAATGAAAATCCAATATCATCAGTTTTTATCCATAAAACTCCAGTGCGGGGAGCAGAAACTTAACAAAATAGTGATCAACAGAGCGAGCTGTAACGCTGTATTTGATTCTATCAAATCTTCCGATTATAATTGAAGTATTAAACAGGACTGCCCTTAAGAAAGTTTGAGTAATATGATAATAATGCGACCAATTAGCTTTACGCTTTCAGCATCATATATAAAACTTTCACGGTGCGCATAGATTTTTCCTTTTGTTTCATTGTTGTTCCGACTTTCGTAACGAAAGTAACAGAATATTTGTGCTCGGGTGGGTTTTTTTTCTTCAGACAAATTTCGGCTTTCTAACTAGCCATTTTTGACGGAGTTCATTTATCTCATTTAAAAGTGATTGTTTTCTTGAGCTTAAATTTGAAAAAGTATTTCTCCTGTGATCATTTTTTGAAAGTTAGGTGGTTTAAAGATTTTTATTTTGGTCATTTTGGGACAATTAATGCGCGATATACTTCGCGCTATTAACACGTAAGCGGAGATTTTTTCCTTCTTAAAAAATTTTCCAAATTGGTTGAAGGAAGCGTATTTGCCAGAATTGATTTGCTACTAGGAGCGAAGTCTATCACTTTTGTACTTTATATGGCGTGTGGGGGGATGATTTTCACAAAAAAGCTCAAATTAAAAAAAAAGTTTTCTTTTACATTTAATTTTTTCATGTTATTACTGCTCCATAGACCTTAAAAGGCAATCAGAACATTCAGGGCTTGGGCCTGATACGAGCAGTCCTGTTCTATTTTATAGATTATTCCAGACGCCAAATTAACAAGTTTCAACCCCCTCCCCCATATTTGTACACAACAAAAATCGAAGTTAAAAAGTAGTTTTCTACATTTAAATTCAGGGAGTCGATAATTTCAATGAGGTTGAACATTTTTCGATAAAAACTATTTCACCCCCTGAAAACAAAACACCCCAACCATAAATATTTCGATTGTCTTCGAAAGTTCGAACAATGACATTCTCTAAAGCCTCATTTTTCTTATCTTGTTTTTCAGCCGAAACGCAGTCGGATCTCGTGCAGCAGGATGCGAACAGACTACGAGAAGCACTGGACAAAGAGCAACAGGAGAGGAAAAAACTGGAGACGAAGGCGGCCGAATCGGAAAAGGAGTGCGAGACACTTAAAAAAGAGATAGCAGGGCTGGAGAAGACTAAAGAGGAACTATCACAGTCTCTTACTGGTCAGTGGTCTCCATCAAAACGATTTCAACAGTTATCTCGACTAATGATCAAAGATAGCGTGAAACTGAAGTAATGCAATTCTTCACTAATTCCTGAAGACATCAGCAAAATCTGTGGATTTATTTCGTAAATCAGATAGAGTAAAAAAATTATTTGGTTTTCAGAAACCCAACGCCGCGAAAAGACACTCTCTTCTGACGTCACCACTCTAATGCAGACACTGCAGGGGGTGGATGGAAAACTGGAGATTGAGAGGAGGAAGTATGAGGTGGTGTTGGGGGAGGGGAAGAGGTATGAGGCAGAGGCTGTCCAGTTGAGACAGCGGGTGGGGCAAGTGGAGGAGCAGAGGAGAGAGACGGAGGAGGATGTGGAACAGCTGAAGGCCACCGAGTTCAGACTACGCACACAGGTGGGTGTTATTGGTGCCTTTTCTCCCCCCCCCCTAAAACTTGGTTCTAAAACAAATTCTGCTGTTGCTTTCCACCACTTCTGACAAGCATCAACCTTATGGTGTAACAGGGAGTTAGCAAGGTAAGATATCAAGGTCAATCCCCCCACCCCACCCTTAAGGAATTCGACCCCATGCCGTTCCAAAGGGTCCCCCTTTGGCACTATTGTAATGCATCCACTTTTGGCCAAAATATTCTATTTTTAAGGCGGAAACGCACGCCAAAAATGCGCAATTTTTTCTCCAATTTTTCCAAAAAGTCCCGATAAACGCCTTTTTTGACGTTTTTTGCTTAAATAAAAGGTCGACGAAATTTTCTCGAGAAAATCCTAGATCCACCCCTCTTTGGAAGAGTCTCATCTGTTCTGTTCATATGCCATACTTGTGCAAAAATCAGATATTGTGATCCAACACTTTACAAGTAAGAACAAGGAGAGCCGGTTACTGTGCAAGTAGCAGAGAATGTTCCGACCATAGTCTTAAAAAATACCCCAAATTTTTTTTCAACTTATAATAGTTTTCTGCGCGGTGTGGTAAAAGGTTCTGAGCGAAAACTAGAGCTTAGGCATATTCGACAGTCATACTAAAACAAGCAATTTGGGAAACAAATTTTCTAGAAAATTGACAAGAAAAACAGAAAAATCAAACAAATGCAGTTTTTGAGTTTTTTGTTTTCAAAATGGCGCTAAAATACGAAATTAAACTAACTTTAATTGAGTTAAATTAAAATTTTACCGCTTAAATTAAGCAATTGTATTCTTTTAAGCAGGGAGGGTTCTCATGCTTGAGAGACTGAATGCTTGAAAAGTTTCAACCAATCAAAATCGCTAAGCGTTCCTATTGGCTAAATGCCTTTCTCGCAGTCAAAAATTGAAGTCAATATTAACAGAAAATGTTTTAAATCATTGGAAAATTATCAAAAATATTACAAATTGCGGGTTACAACCGCAATACTATTCAGATAAACATCAAGATTTATGAGTTCAAGTTCACAAAAATTTTTCAGTCTTGAAAACTCATTTGCTTATTATCTAATTGGTCAGTATTAACACTAATGGCCTGGATTTATTTTCTTACTTTCTCGATTTACTTTGAGATTTTGAATACTCAACTCTGATTGGTTGAAAGTAAGCTAAAATAAATTTCAAGCACTTGGTCCCTCAAGCATGAGCGACGCCACCCTTTTAAGCTATTAAAATAAACTATTGCAAGCCTTCTTGCTTACTCAAAAGTAGACGAAAAGGAAAAAAAATCCAACCGGTTTTCTCAACACCTGGAAACTATTCGAATTTGTTTTAATATCGATCGAATCACGACTTGAAGTGTTTTAAACTGATATATCACTCAACTCTCTACGACGATTTTGCTATTATCTAATTTGATAGTTGTGCTACGACAGGGGGTTGAAAAATGAGATTGAATCCCCTGTTATAATAAACCATAAGTTTCGTATTTTTACTATAATTTTGAAAATTATAGTATATTTCATTATAAAATGGGGCTTTTTTCAGTTTCATATATTTTGCTATTATCTAATTTGATAGTTGTGCAACGACGGGGGTTGGAAATTGAGATTGAGTCTCCTTTTATAATAAACCATAATTTTCATATTATTACTAGAAATTTGAAAATTATAGCATATCTCATTATAAAATTGGGCTTTTTTCAGTTTCATATATTTTGCTATTATCTAATTTGATAGTTGTGCTACGACGGGGGTTGGAAATTGAGATTGAGTCCCCTTTTATAATAAACCATAATTTTCATATTATTACTATAAATTTGAAAATTATAGCATATCTCATTATAAAATAGGGCTTTTTTCAGTTTCCAACTCAACAAAAGTACAAAATTGAGAACAAAATTATACAATTTTTTATCTTAAAATTGAACTTTTTGTTTTTAACTTTGTACTTTTTTTCACTGATTACTTGAGTTCCTGATATAGGCGGTTTAGATTCAAATCAAGTCTGGAGCTCATATGCAAGAGTTTGTAGTGAAAGTCACTTGATTTTATTATTATCAAGTTATGAACTTTTTTTTATTTTTCGGCCATATGAAAAATTTATTTATGTTTGTTTTATGTATGGAAATGATAAATGTGTATGCATTGTAGATTTCGGACATGGAGCGACTGAGTTCGCAGCAGCAGGTGTCCATCTCGGAACTAAGTCGGAAACTCCAGGAGGCGGTGGAGAGTGCGAAGAGTGTGGACTTCAGACACCGGGGTCACGTGACCAGACTGGCCGAAGAGATCATTCAGCTTAAGAACAGGGCTAGGTAAGTAAATTGAGAATAATCATATTTAACTAAACATAGATTTCTGGCCTGATTTTTCAAAAATTCATCTGCGGCGCAGAAATTTTTCTCAAAATGGGGTCTTTCAATGTTTTGGAACAGTTTATCAGGGCCGATAAAATCTTTGCGAACATGTTTTGAGAACTCCCCATTTACAAAAAAAAAACGATTTTTAAAATATCTTTAAAAAATGTTTGAATGCAATTGAGTGAAGTTTTTTGACACCTGTCATTAAGAATTTTCAATGAACAAAACCAAAACTAAACCAAATAAAAGGTTGGCTAAAGAGTTATCCTTTTTGTAGTTCGGATCAGGAGGCTCTTGAAGAAGCGACCGACCAAGTAGCCAATCTGAAGTCAGAACTAGAAGAGAAAACAGCCAAACTTGAGAAAGCGGAACAGAGCACAGATAGACTAAAAGACTCCCAACTCGACACCGACCGGAAGTTGTGCCAGTTGTATAACAATATTAGAAACACGTTCCAGATGAGAAACACTGCCTTAGGTAGCCAGACTGTGGTGACTGGATTTGGAGGTCAAGTTGTGACTACTAACAGGTTCCCATTTGCTACAATCAGTTCAACGAAGAGCTCCCAAAACCCAAAAAGTGGTGAGTTACATTTTTGCTAGAAAAGAACGTACCAAAAACTAAAATAAATTAATTTTTCTTAAAGAGAACCTCTTTTTTTAAAAAAAAAATTGGCACTGCGAGTAAACACCAGAAGTTCTCTCAAAGTAGTGTTCAGAAATGAAAGAAAAAACTATTGTAGCAGAAACAACTATAGGTCGGCCTACCAAAACGTATGTTTTATCAATGAGAGTTTCTTTGGGCAATAAACGGATCCTGCGAGCATTCCTTTTTCCAAATAAATGGTTCAGAAAAAACTTGTAAATAAACTTTAACATTTCATCAATAGTTCAAAACAGAAGTTATAATATCACTTATTAATTTGAAATTTTCAGGTCTGACAACAGCGGAGAGGTCAATCAAAGCGATCGATATCGAGACAGTCAGGGCAGCCATGGAAGACATCATTAAACAGTGCAAGAGCTCAGAGGATACCAAACAGACTCTGGAACAACAGCTGAAGCTTAAGGAGGCGAAACTTAATGAGTTGTCCTCTAGCCACGAACTGTCGGAGCAGAGTCTGAAACAGATGAGAGAAAAATACGACGAAACTTACTCGGGTTAGCTGAAATTAATTACATTTAACAAAGCATGGCGTTATATGGTCACAACGCTGATTAAAATAAGGATAGCCGGTTACTGTGCATGTTCTGTGGAAGTACTTTTTGACATTTTAATATTTTTGGCGGTTGATGTACCCGAAAATCAAATTTGTCGGATTAAGTCGGAGTTTCCATCTCTTCAACTTTTGACAATTTTCAAAACATCACCTTGCGCAAATTTTAGATATTTTACACCCCTGCATGAGCTTTTTGCGCAAATATTTGGAGGATTATTTTCTAGAAGAAATGTACAACTCCCGGAGTCTTATCGACTTCTATCTGATTCTCGTCTAAAACAACACGGCCTAAAATATTTTACGAGCACTTTTTCTGTAAATGTTCCTTGGAATCTTTCGTTGGTTTCCTGCAATGTTTCTTTTCGTGGGATCTTTTGTTTCTTGGAATTGTTGGTTTCTTACAATGTTTCGTTTCCCAGAATCATTCGTTTCTTGGAATCTTTTGTTTCTTGAAATAGCTGGTTTCTTGCAACGTTTGTTTCTTAGAATCTTTCGTTTCTTGGAAACTTTTTCTTGGAATCGCTGGTTTCTCGCAATGTTTGAAGAAGAAGAAGAAGAAGAAGAAGAAGAAGAAGAATTTATTTCTCCATATAGTTGATAATACAAGCATCAATTTATTTAAATAATTAAATCAACAAAATGGAGGGGATAGACGAAAGGCGCAGTATGTGCCTACTTGACGTCTACCCGTTTGTTTCTTAGAATCTTTCCCGTTTCTTGGAATCTTTTTTCTTGTAATCTGTTTTTTCTTGGATTGTTTTGATTGTCATCTCCTGTGTGTTTGTGTTCAGAACTGAGCAAGGCGAATGTGAAGTTGGACTCCTATCGTAAGATGCAGAAGACGCAGAGTGACATAGTGGCGAGTAAGGAGGAGAGTGTCAGTGGACAGCAGAGGAGGATCGAGGAGCTGGAGGGGGAGATAGAAAAGAAGAGGGGGGAAGTGACTCAACTGAGAGAGAAAAACACCGCTTTAAACGAGGTCAGGGCAACATGGGGAAAAATCATGAAGCATATGTTAAAAATAACAATTTTTCGAATTACAATTTAATAATTAGTAAATAGTTACAATTATTCTATACTTTAAGTATATACAAAAATTGTAAACAGGGAATTACATGCAGATTCTGGCTATGTAGTAGCACGCCAGGCTGCTTAATTTCTAACCACTGCCAAAAATATCGAACTGATTACCCGTTTATTTAAGACACTTGCAGGCTCAGACACCTGTTATATGTTGATCATAATGAAAAGCAGCTCAATTGGAAAAAATAAGAAGAAGTTATAGTATTGGAACGAAATTTCTCAAAAAGCAAAAAAATTCTCACAAAATTTGCCACTTAATGTTTTTGTTTTATGAGCTGCGTCTTAAAAGTTAACAACAAAAACTGAACAGACAGATGAGTTATGATGGCCAGTTTCTTGTTTGCTTTAAAAAAGGTCATACATATTTTTCTAATAACAACCAGACTGGTTTATTGGGCTCTTGACCAACTGTGGTCACAGAAGTGCCCTCTAGTGGTTAAGATCCTGAACCTAAAGGAACTCATACTAGCATTCAGTGACTATTGTTGAACTCCTGTCGCTGCTTGACTTTTTAGGTCATACGTTTGTTCAGTTTGGTGGCGTTGCTTAGTCGCTAAAAAAGAGCGTCACTCAACAAAAAACTCAGTCTGGAATGTGGGGAAATAAGAGAAACGGACTATGCTTAGACAGGCTAGATAGCCTTTCATAGATCCTCTGCGAATCGCAGAAACCACAATTATTTTTCTATTGTTATGATTATTATGATTATTTTTCCTCATTTGCAGGAAATGAGGAAGTGCAGGAGTGAGTTGGAGAGGGTGGGGGTGGAGGTTAGAGAGCAGAGCAGTGCGAGACAGAAGGAGAGTGTGTTGCGCAGTCAGTGGGAGGACCAGATGAACTTGACAGTCGCCCAACTCACACTCAAAGAGGAAGACGTCAAGGTGTGCCACTCTGCTATTGCCCGTCTTTGCTCGTTTATGTCAAATCGACGGGTAGAGTGTTGGGAGGGGGCAGGAAGAGTCAGACACTCCTTCCCAGAAACTAAACGCCTATTTATATATGTCATACACATAGGGGCGGATCTAGGGGAGGGGGGCGGACTTTGTCGAATTTTTTTAGGTCGACCAAAATGATGTTCCAAGCACTCCCAGAAGACTATAAAAACCCTATTTTGATAAAAATGATTGAAAAAAAAAAACATGCCAAAAAAGGCATTTCTCGGCACTTTTTGGAAAAGTTTAACCCAAACTTGCGTTTTTTCGGCTTGCGCTCCCCTTTAAATTTAGATTCCAAAATTTAGGGTTGGTCAGCCGAAAATGGATATCATTGAATAATCCCTGGGCACTAAGGAGTTTGGGTACTACATACAGCGGGCGGGAAAAAAAAGCTGAAAATAGATGCTTACTTTGTGAAGCGAAGGCCTAAATTAAATATGAAAACTGTAGTTTCAAGCCCACTCTCGACTACGATTTTGCGCATAAACCAGACCTTATTTTGACCCTGTAATGCAATTTTTACATGAAAAAAAAACTGTGAACTCCAAACACATACGAAAAAAAAATTCACTTTTTTTGACAAGCAAGTACCACAGAATATTCCAAATAAGTGATTTAAAAAGAAAATATCAAAAATTAGGACTTTGTTAATAACAAAATAGTTTGCTGCAAATCGCTGTTCTGTTCTTTTTCTATTACTTTTTTTAGAAATTGTAAGTGAATTAGCTGAATGAATCAACAGTTTCTTGAGCGGATATTCTGTTAAAATACATATTGCAAACACTTCAGTTCAGTTCATCGAGCAGAAGCATTTCAGTTCATCGAGTATTACACTGGAAAAAGTTATAGAAGATCGGATCAGGTATAAAAAAGTTAAAATCTAAAATTTCCCAACACAGCAATAAGATACAGACAAATATAAAAAAAATTGAAACCACTTTGAAAAACGCTTGCCTTCAATTAATTTTTGTTAAGAATCACCAGATCAATTGCGAGCAAAAACTGAAGACAAGCCTGAGCCTACTTATTATTTATCAGGCAGCTGTATTTGTTCTTTGTTATTTGGTCTTAATCAGGGGCGGATCTAGGATTTTCTCGAGGGGGGCGAATTTTCAAAAAAATTTGAAAAATTTTGTCGACTTTTTTTTAGGTCGACTGAATTAATTTTTCGAGCTCTCCCTAAGCCGGTTTAGTCCCTGTTTTGGCAAACTTTTCTGCGCCGCAGGCAAAAATTTGAAAAACAGTCCGAAAAAGGCATTTTTAGGCACTTTTTGGAAAATTTTGACCAAAACATCGCGTTTTTACGGCGCGCGCTCTCCCCTCAAAATTAGTATATATTGGCGCCAAAGGCGCCTTTAGAAATATTTTAGGGTTGGTCGGCCACAATAAAATTGGATTTCTTAAAAGTACCAAAGGGGGACCCTTTGGGTCGGCAGGGGTCGAATCCCTGAGAGAGGGCGTCCGCATCCCGTCGCCCCCCCCCCCCCTAAATCCGCCCCTGGTCTTAATGAACCTTTAGCAATTGCTCGGCTAAAATATTGACTCGAAAGATCTGATAAGTCAAGCAACTGGCTTTCAGACTTTTGTCTCGGCAGTGCAATCAGTTTTTTTTTGCTAACGCAGCCGTATAAACTCATGTACAATTAGTGATTGGTTAAATTACGTCAGATTGCTAATGCTTTCATTTTTTTAATAGAAAAAGTGATGGCCCCGAAATGGAACGTTGAGGCACGCCAATTCGGATTGGTTTAAAAGCTGAAAATTCAAAGCCAATTTGAATATTGTGTTTCCGATCACCTGAATAGTTTCAACAACTTTGTAACACTTTCTTTGAAATCCATAACAATATAAATTTATACTAGATTGGTGTGATCATACGTGTCAACATTTTACCTAAAATCAAAGAAACAGTCGTTCCCGAAAAGTTAACCATCAAATTCTTTAACCATCAAATTTTTTAACCATCAAATTCTTAATAAATTCTGTGAAGTAAATCAAAGTATTAAAAAATTGATCCACTTGTTTTGAAATGGAGTTGAGCAAGTTATCACACAACTCACCACATTTATTTAGAGCCATAATTTTTTCCAGTTAGAGACAATCCGGAAAGACGCCCTGATCTAAACATTCATCAAAATTTTAGCAAGGGCTAAAATTTTCAGCAATAATTTCTGAATAAAAGTGTTACTAGAGCCATCACAATCAGAACTGTTTTTTACACCCCTTAATTAAAACACAAAAGTTTTTTCGCAGGGATGCAGGGAAAAAATTAAGTGTTTTCACACATACACACTTTTCCTCTTGTTGAATAATGTTTATCAATGTATTTGTTTTGTATGTTACCTAAGGTTTTTTATATGTTTTCTTTGTGCACTCAGAATACTGCTCATAATCTAGCATGGACCCAATTTTAACCCAAATTTCCTTTTTCGGATTTGATATTTAAAATTTGTATCAAACGAACTTTGTTTTTCTTTTCCTTGAATTCCTTAGGGCAAAACTTGTTTGGAATCACAAAACATTCTGCGTTTTTTCCTCTACATTTTTGTTCTGGATGTATTTTAATTCCTAAACAACCCCAGGTTTCAGGAAGTATCAATGCTAATCATTTTCTGCAAAATTTGTCCAAAAATATAGTTTAGCTAAAACTTAAAACTTATACCTTTAATTTTGTTTTTGGGTTTCCGCAAAAAAACTATATTGAACACAAATTAAATCAAGTTTCAGTATGATCCCCAGACAAGCAGTCATCTATAATCTATACAAGACTTTGGCGTAGAAGTTTCACGAGTTAGATATATGTGAGTGTTGCTGGATTTTTATGGGAGTGAAAATTTTATCAGGTTATTACATTTAATTTGCGTGGTGGATTCTTTTGTATGGTAATTGTTAAAGTCTTTGCAGGTTAAGGATTACCCTTGTAAACTGTCTCTGCTTAACAATAAATCTTCAAAGTGCGAAAAGAAGTTGATTGAATTTGCCAGATGGTGCGTTTTTACACACTTGTGAAGTTGTATATCACATTTTTATTTAAAGACAGACTGCTGATTACCATTGCATCCAATTCAGATAAAATAGATTCAACTTTGTAACTTTCATCATTACCTATGTAAAAAACAACACCAACTCAGCGACTATGCTGTGTGTTTTTTTTTTAAAATTTTTGATACCATCTCTAAGTTTGTGCAAAACTAACGGATTTAATTCAGATAATCATGTCTCTGGAATATAAATACTGAGGAGCCTAATCTAAAAATCAGTTATTAAGTTTTCTAACAGATCATGGTGACATTTAACAAGTTTTTTCAATAAAAATAAAACTTAATCTCATTCAATTAGAAAATGAAATAATGAATTGTGATTTTCAAGCTTGCAGCTGCAAATGCCCATGAATTATTTGATGTTCTTTCAAATTTTCCAATGTATCTCTTATGGTGTTATTCGATGTATTATTTGAACATTTTCATGAAACTCAAGCAGAAGTTTCTTTTTTCTCCTTCATCCGGAGATCCTCGAAAACTTTTAAGAACACAGCTCAATGTGCATTTCTCAACCATTTTGTTTGTTGTTGTTTTTTCTCAGACTGGAAATTGGGACAAGGTCATATGAGACCATTGGCTTTTTTTTCCTGATAAACTTTTTTCAAAAATTTTTTTTGCTGCGCTTTTTATATCCTGAACTTCTTTAGTGTTCTTATAAAAACAAATAGCAGTGTGTTTTCTTTTTCTAGAATAACCATTAATTGACAATGATTAGTGATCGAAATAAGGTTAATTTTATTTGCCTGATTGATAACCTCGCGCTGTTTCGGAGACAATATTTTTCTTATAAATAGGGGTTTTGATTCAACCAAATTGGGCACTCTCACTAGCAATCATTTTTGCCCAAAACTATTGTTCATCTCATTTTAAAAAACCATGTTAACTGAAACGGCGGGTGGGTGATACAAGTTTTCTTGTTCACCCAGCAGATGAAATGCTTGAAAATTATTCGACTTAGTTTTTTACCAAATAAATTCTTCAGAAAGTCGAATTCCTGATGTGAGAGAGGCCTGTTGTCGTTTTTGCAAGTTTTCAAAGTTTACGCAATCCTTCGAAAGCTCCTGTTGATCAAATCTTTCTTCCGACTGCTCAACTTCTTCTAACTGCAATCAATTTTTATTAAATCAGTTCGTCTCTAACCGCGAATAAAATAGATTTTACAGCAGAACATAAATTCGCCTTTTTAAAACGCAAGCTTGTTAAAACCAAAAGTTCATTTCAATTTTGGAACATTTTTTTGCAGCAGGGAAAACGGAACTAACTCTCAGCTTTTTTTTCTCTTTTAGAAAGAGCGGTAATTATTATTTAAAAACGTTGTTAAATAACAACCTCTCAGTATTTTCTGTCCTATATAGGTCAAACCTATGAAAAATGGAAATATTTCACATCATTTTTTCTTAACATTGGAGCCGATGTATTTGATTATTTTTAGAATCCAAATCACAATCAAAAGGTCTTCAACATGACACCAATTTTGACCTTCAACGAGATTTACTTGAGGTGGTCAAAGTTGCCGGAAAAAAGTTATAAAATTGTACCATAATACATAGTTCTTTTCCACTCTTCGAAAATGGTTAAAAAAACAACAAATTTTTCTTATTTTTGTTTTCAAGCTCACAAACTCTTGTTCAATTATCTGTTGCATAAGTTTTACTTTTATTAAAAATTTTTGTCCTTCTTAAAAAAAATTATCTCCTAGGACATGAAAAACACAATCAACGAGCTGACAAAACAACTGGCTGATCAGAAAAGCCAAGCGGAGACAGCTGTATCCCAACACAAGGAGAGCGCAGTCAAGCTGAAGGAGAGGGCAAAGGTCACTGAGGAGCAGATGAAACAACAGGTCAACATCATCACTTTTTCTCATGTGCACAAATATTCAACCGCCACTAAAAATTTTTCTAATAAAAAGTTCGAAGAAATCATTTTGGAAAGCTTAGGTGATTGGTAAAAAAAGGAGGTGAAAATTTTTGCGTTACGCTTGGAAAATTTTACTGCCGGGGTTTAATTTTTGTGTGTTTTTTTATTGTTCTACAGAAACTAATTGGAATCCATGGACGGAGACACCCCGTGGTTTTGGCTGCAAAATGTTCCAGTCTTTGGTGCTATTTTTTTGGCCTAACAACTCAAATTTATTAAAAGATGATCAAACATTTTGTTACAAGCCGCATAAATATAATTAGTCTGCTCGTATAAGGAAAAAGCATTGAGTTATCCGATTGCTCTTCAACTTGCTTTGAACAGTTTGTTTTAACTCAACTTTGTTATTGATTAACTCCAGATTTTGGTTTTCACTTTTTCCCTCCTAAATTCAAAAATTTTGAAAGTTAAATGTATACAAAAAAGTTAATGTGATCGCCGAAATCGGTCAAACCAAAAACCTTGGAAAGTCGGTTCAACAATGAGATTTGATTGACAGCGAGATGAGTTTTGATTGACGTTTGCAGATTGATTCTCTGAAGTGTGAGCTTGATGAGGTGAAGAGGGATCGTGAGGAGGAGCGAAGAAGGCTGAGGAAGAAGGCAGAACTGGAACACGACAGGGGGGAGGAGTTTGGGCGCAATATGCAGACTAAACTTACCAACATGAGGCTAGTATAGCAACGTCGCTTTGCAGTTTGCAATCGAAACATAACACTGAAATATAATGAAATTATCTATGAGCAAGAGTTACATTTTCATTTGAGTGCGTCAAAAAACTTCGCTCTGAAATTTTAGAATGCAGAGATACTCAGCGGAGATTTTCTATTCAAAATTCAGCATTCACGTGAACAAAAATTATGAACCAAATTTTATGTTTTTGTTTCTCGAAATTCATAATTTAAAAATAAGCGTGTTTTTATCGGAATAAAAAGCGATTTTTTTCTAAATTGTATTTTGTCTTTTTGATTGTTCAATTGCTAAACTATTTTCGCTTCTGTCACATCTATCGGGTGAAAGATCATGTTCTTTATCTTTTTTTTTATCATCTACAAAGTAACTTCTGCAGGGATGCTCTGGACAAGATGACAGTTGAAAAGAGGAGTTCTGATGAGTCAGTGAGGTCAATGCAGATCCAGATCCACAGTCTGGAGAGGGAGAGGGAGGAGCGGAGGGAGGAGCTGAAGAGTCTCAGGGCCGCCCAGGAGGCCAGACAGAAATCGGACACCGACTTGGCCGCCAAAGTCAAGGTCAGATAGTACATTAAACGTCATGAAAATCATTAAAAAAGAGACAAATATGTTTGCGTCCGTTTGTATCTAGTCTAATGCCCAGTTTTTTTAGATTCTAGCAAATAAAATCAATTGTCCGACTAATTTGATGCATTTTGGTTTTACATTTATCTTTTTTTTTCAAATTTAGTCGTTTACACTAAAAATACCGCTTTATTGCGCATCAAAAATACCGTCGAAAAGCTTAATGCATTATTCAAGCTAGAATATCGTGATACACGTAGTTTATTATCAATGCTGCCCGAGTTTTTCAGCCGGGCTGCCAACAAGGAGGGTAATTATAGCTCCGACCTCGTCGCGAAGTGAATGGAGAGAGCTATGGGGCAGGCTGGGCAACTTTTACCTGTCTATTTTGACTACCTCAAAGAAAACTCGTAGGAAGTCAAGCGTGGTATCAAATTAAAATAACCTCAGTGATAATTCTTAGTCTAAGAAATCCGCATTTTCAAGTTAAGTTAATGTATAATTGATAATATGTTGAACCACTGATTCGACTTTCTACCATTTTTACGTTTCATTGGTTTTTAATACCTCTCGTTTTTGTAGTTTTTTCTACTTCAGTCTGATCCAATCGCCGTCGACATAGTTCAAGGTCACCCCGATTGACCCATTTTTTCATTAAGTCCGGGGGGAACACATAAAAAAATGGAATGATCAACAATCTGGATAGCTGACAAACTTTTGAAAATTGGACGTCAAATTATTTACCTTCTGTACAAGATTGCTGATGAAGAGATTGATGATCATAAAATAGCAATATTTGCCCAAAAACACAAAACATGTGGTCGACCTTTTGTTGTCCTAAAACATCAGAATGAATGGCTGTTGATAAACTTTCTGGGGCGCTAATTCCAGCAACATTGTGGGAAGAATGCTGTTCTTGAAACTTTTTGCTGAAATAAATGCATTTTTGGCCTGCGCTCCCCCTCAACACTAGAGTACATTGACGCCATGTGGGTCTGTAGAAAAAAGTTTGAATAGGTAACCCAGAAAGGCCTTCGTACAGTAGTACTATAAAGGGCTTTTCGGAAAATTTGGTAGCCACAGAATTGAGTATTGTGCGGGGAATTAGCAGCCGTCCCCACCGCTTTTTCTCGACACGCTTAATTTGAGGACACGTTTTTTTGTTTTGCTGCAGAACTACATCTAGAAAAAACTTAATTCCAACGAAGAAAGAATAACAAAAACAAGCAGTGTTTCTTTTTAGCTCTTAAAATGGCAATGTTAGTTTTTTTTATAATTTTAAATTCAGATTGAGAGCGGAGTCAGATAATTTTTTTTATAAATCGTCTCCTATTAGGCTTGCATTGCAAGTCCTTCAAAAATTTTTGGGAGGTGTTTGTTGCCGTGGTTGCCTCAAAAACCTATAAAATCAGAAAAAAACTTTAAATCTTCCATTTTTCAATTTTGCAAATTTCTTTCTGAGCTTAATTGGCACAAAAATTGAACATTTTTGTGCAATTTCAACAACAACAAGCTGGTAATGTCTAAGGAAAGCTGTTCGCCGTTTTTGCAGAGCACATTTTGTTTTACATGGCTTGTATGTGGTATTTGCATAAAAACAGAACTTTGTTTTTCCAGGCACAATCTCTGAGAGTGAGGAGCAACTTTTATTTTGGTATATTTAAATTTTTTTTCCACGCAAATGTTGGTAATCTCATATAACCATCAGATTAAGCGATATATATTTGGCGCCAGTTTTTACTAATTTTGAGGGGTCGCGTTTTTTTGGTCGAAACTTTCCATATGTATGTATGTATATATACAGGGGCGGTTTTTGCGGTTTTAAGGGGGCGGGTAGGCGGACGCCCTTCCCCCTCAAGGATTCGACTTCTTACCGACCAAAGGGTCCCCCCTTTGAACTTTTTTCAGATATCCAATCTTAGCTGACGGCGGACCCTAAATAAATCTGAGAAATCGAAAATTTTGTGGAAAATTGTCTAAAAAAATTCATTTTGTGTTATTTTTGTAATTTATTTTTGAAGAAAACAATTGGGGCTATCAGTAATGTTCGCAGATTTCGTCTAATTTAATTCGCCAACTTACGCACAGAAAAAGGTGACACAACTTTGAGCATCATATGCGAAAAATAGCTATAGCTGGATTTTTCCGTGCTACTTGCACACTACTCAGCTACTACTTTGTACGGTGGCGTTCCTTATGGCGAAGAGACCGAAAATTGGAATTTTTTTCAGCCAATCGCGTATGATTATTCAAAACTCTCAAAAAAAGTCGCGAAAACCTCAAAGTAAGCAAATTGAGAATTCAAAAATCAGAATTGAAATTTCAAAAATCTCAAAGTAAGCAAACAAATACAGGCCATTAAAATTGGTATTGACCGATTAGAATATAAGCAAAATTTTCAACTATTGCGAGATTGAAGACAATAAGCAAGAATATTTTTTTGTTTCATTGAAATTTGAAAAACTACCATACATCACAATCACAAACTACATATCAGCAACAGTTTTCACCAAACATTGCAAAAATTACAGATATAACGTTTGTGTATGGATTTGTAAAAAGTAAAATTTGTTAGCTTGAAAGAAAAATAAAATTTCCCAAGTTTTTTTTCATATTTGATTTTTTGTAATAATTGGAAGTTCTAATGATGCTAAATGGTGACAAATTCCAGAAAAAGTCACTTACATCAAACCTTTTTGAGCAAAAAAAATTAAACGAAGTTTCTATTTTTTTGTTCTTGGTTACTTCTCCTTTACTTGGATTTGAACGGATTTGTTTTCGCAATTTGTTCTCATTCATCAGAAAAAATGCTACCAACTCATTTGAAGTTTTTATTAAGAGGTTTGCAAAAAAAAATTCAAAGTCAGTTTTTTCCGTTATCAGTCTGTTGAATTGTTTTCAAAAAACCGCAGAAATTGTTTAATTTTTAATTTCTATTGATTTTAGAAAATGTATGAAAATTGTATGACAAGCATTTTCTCCATACACTTAATGTATGGAATTGTATGACAAGGATTTTTGTTGTATGGATTTGTATGATAAGCATGTTTGCTGTATGGAGGTCAACCCGGGTTGACAATTAAAAAAAATGAATTAAAAAATTGAAAATAAAACAGAAAATAATTTCAATATCTACATGAATTAATTGTAAAACTTAGCTGTACTGTTATATTTCATTTTCTTTTAATACGGACCTGCGTTTTCTGAAAAAAAATCTTTCGGCCAGTGGGAACGTCCTTCAAAAATCTCAAAAAAGTTGCAAAAATCTCAAAGTAAGCAAATAAATACAGGCTATTAAAATTGGTATTGACCGCTTAGAATATAAGCAACCTTTTCAACAACTGCGAGGTTGAAGACGTATTGGAATAAAACTTAAATTATAACGAGATATAACGTTTGGTAAACACAATTCCATGCCAAATCCCGAATTGGGATACAATACGCAAGAATATTCTTTTGTTTCATTGAAATTTGAAAAACTACCATAAATCACAATCACAAACTACATATCAGCAACAGTTTTCTTCAAACATTGCAAAAATTACAGATATAACGTTTGGGTATGTAATTGTAAAATGTAAGTTTTATTAGTTTGAAAGAAAAATAAAATTTCCCAAGTTTTTTTTCATTTTTGATATTTTGTAATAATTGGAAATTCTAATAATGCTAAATGGTGACAAATTTCAGAAAAAATTACTTACATCAAACCTTTTCGAGGAAAAAAAATTAAACTAAATTTCTATTTTTTTGGTCTTGGTTGCTTCTCCTTTACTTGGATTTGAACGGATTTGTTATCGCAATTTGTTCTCATTCATCAGAAAAAATGGTACCAAATCATTTGAAGTTTTTATTAACAGGTTTGCAAAAAAAATTTGAAAAAATTATCTCTTATGGCGAAAATGCTTGTCATACAATTATCATATATGGAAACTGTATGGTAAGCATTTTTTGTAAAAAAAATTCAGAGTCAGTTTCCGTTACCAGTCTGTTGAACTGTTTTCAAAAACCGCAGAAATTGTTTAATTTTTATTTTCTATTGATTTTAGAAAATGTATAAAAATTGTATGACAAGCATTTTCTCCATACACTTGATGTATGGAATTGTATGACTAGGATTTTTGTTGTATGGATTTGTATTACAAGCATTTTTGCTGTATGGAGGTCAATCCGGGTTAACAATTCAAAAGAATCGATTTAAAAAGTTGAAAATAAAACAGGAAAGGTTTTCTATATCTAAACGAATTAATTGTTAAACTTTGCTGTACTGTTTTATTTCATTTTCTGGTAATACGGACCTGCATTTTATGCAAAAATCTTTCGGCCAATGGGAACGTCCTACAATTCTGATAACTTTGAAAATTTTCCATCATTCGGTCCCTCAATCATGAGAATACTCCCTTTCCCTTTTTTACTTTGAAAAATTTCGCAAACAAGGCATGAAATAAAAAAAACGTAAGTGAAATTTTGCTTTTGTTTTCTCTGCCGAATAGATACGTTAACTCACAAATCTTAAAAAAGAAAAATCTTATTGCCGATTGTCCAACGATAAAAGTGTCGCAAAATAGTGCGGTCTTTTTGGAAGTAAAAGGGTCTCCTGCCACTGCCCTAAATCTTGCCCTGATAAGAAGTAAAATCAATTTGGTTCTTTAGGAGCTGGAAGATGAGAACAGACGTCTGGAGGGGGAGTTGAGGAGCCTGAAGGGGGATGTGTTGCTGAAGGAGAGGGAATCGAATGCCCAGCTGGAGAACCTCCTCAGGGCGGAGAGAGACCGACAGATGCTGCAACTCACAGTGGACAAAGTACAAGATCATCATTGATTTACTCTACTTTTTCAATAGATACTATTGCCTTCAGAGTGGTGAAAAAACTATTTTTACTACGGACTTATTTGAATAATTAGAAAATAATTATTTTTTGGGGGGAGTTTCAGAAATTCTTGGCAAATTTTACTGGAAAAAAAGTAAAACGAGGATGAGTTTGAAGGGTTTTTTTATATTTTGGATGAAGTTCATTGCCTTTTAGTTAAAAACGCGCTTAGATGTCAAAACTTCTCATTTTTTATGATGGTTTGGAAACAGCAAGCCTATAATTAAAAATAAATTTAAAAAAGTGAAATAGAATTTAAATTTGGGTAGATCTATAACTGTGACAAGACTCAATTTTTATATCTACGCTCATCTTTAGTTGCAAAAAGAAACAGCCAAACAAAAAGAATACGCTTTGAGCCGAACCCAAGCGACCACGATAGGTCATCTACTAGACACAGTATCCCAAATTGACCTAAATCAACCTCAGCCAAACACTTTCTCACAACCACAGCTTAATATTCCATCTTCAACATTGCCTTCAGCTAGTAGTCTGACCATGCCAGTAGCTCCGCAGACAAGAAACCAGTTGTTAAATGGAGTTGGATCATCGTCAATTCTTGGATCCTCGACGCCAAGGCTATCGGGATTTGGTACAAGTCACGCGTCTTCTAGTCAAGTAACACCTTCTTACGGTGCAGGTGCCAATCGATCTAGGCAAGATATACATACATTAAGTTCACCTGGTATTCATATTAAGTTCACATCGTTTTGTCAATGAAAACGATTTAATTTTTTTTGGAGTCGCTTTGGCCTTCCGGCAAAAGTTGGTATCAGGTCAAAAATTGTCATAGATGACCACGATTTATGTTTACCACCAGTAGCTGGTAAACGCTTTATTTCTGATTAAAAGTGTTCCCACCATTAAAAAGGGGGAGGAATTTTGTATTTGAGTGTGGGTGTGTTTAAGTTTCTTTTTTTTTCTGTTTTCCACGCAAAATCAGGTACCACAAATAAACATCGGAATTTGTCAAACAATATAACAAATTAAAACACTTTCAGTCATAATTCGTAAAACATTAAAAATTTCAAACTTTTTTTTCCAGTGTCAAGAAAAACCGGTTTGAAATATTTGATTTTTAGTCTACTTTCGAGCAAATGAGGTGAGCGAGCTGCCTTATTTTGTTTTTCAACCCAATTTTTTTACCGCAAATATCATCATAATGGGTGCAGTGAAGGATCACATTAAAGCCTATTCAGCAGTAATTCGAACGGCCTTAAAAAATTTCAAAAGCTGTCCCGGTGTTGAGGAAAACCAGTTTGAAACTTTTGAGTTTTGATTGAACTTCGAACGAGTAAAACAAGCGAACAAGCTTATAATAGCAAAATTAAGCTATGAAATTAAAAAAAAAACTCCTATAAAACTATTTTTCGAATTTTTTTTCAGCGCCATCTTTGGAATAAAAATTTCAAATCATTTTTTGGAAATAAAAATGAATAAAAGATTAGAATTTGTTGTTTTTTTTTGTCTTTTTTTCGGCTATAATTGTAGCCCGATTTGTCTATTTTACTATGACTGTCGAGCATGCTTAAATTAACGGTTTTCAACAGAACACATTACGAGGCCAAACTGTGCACTGGATAGGCGCATAATTTTGTGTCTGTATGTTCCTGGATTGCAGAGATAAATCTTTAAACATGTTCCAAAGTGTAAGCGGATTACACCTACAAAAACTTCGTGGATCCCACGTACAAATACCTGTAACATAAACTTTGTCGGCACATTTGTTTTGTTGCGGATTCCGCAACAAGCAAATATAGCTAGTTGTTCTGGATTCCGCACTTGTAAGTGGATTCCGCAAAATGTTAGTAGAATCCGCAAAATGTAAGTGGAATCCGCAAACAAAGTGCGGATTTCACTTACAATTTGCGGATTCCACTTACATTTTGCGGATTCCACTTACAATTTGCGTCTTCCGCTTACAGTTGCGGATTCCGCAACAGCTCAATTTAACGATACAAATGTTTTATCATTTATTTGTGGATTCCGCAAATACTGTTGTGGATTTCGCAAATTCGCCTATTTTTGGAGCGATTTTGAGCGCTACAATGTTTTAAGTATTTGTTTGAGGAATCCAAAACAGCAAAGAAGATCAAAGAAAAATAGCAATGTTGCGGGTTCCGCGACAAATCTGATTTTGTACTGTCCCGGAATCCGTTTTTTAATGCACAGAATACACAGTTTGGCCTCGTAATGCATTTTATCAGACGACTCGCTTAAATCAACTTTAATCTGAAAAGAAAAACATGAAAAAGCGTTTTATTTATTTTGTTTAAATTTATAGTCGGAACATTCTGTGCTACTTCCACAGCCACCGGCTATCCTGGTTCACAATCAGTTTTGAATGTTAAAACTTGCGACAATTGTTTCAGTGGCCTTGGATCAGTCAGTTCAGGGCCAAAGATGGGTTCTACGAATAGATACAATCTGAGAAATTGAGACAGCCGACGGAACTAATTGATGATAATAGTATGAAATGTACGAATTTTTACTTTGTTTTGCCAATAAAGCTTTGGAAGTTACACTTAAATAATCGAAATACATAATTCAATTTTTTGTACAGTTTCTTATTCTACACAAGATGAGAGTATAAAACATGATCAACTTAACTATGATCACTCTATCTATTTCTGAAAAATTTGATAACCAAACAACAAATATCAAGCTATTGATATAAGCTATTGCTCCGATCCGTCAGCGTGGGCGGTAAAGTGGTTGCCAATTTATTCAAGCGGTCTCCTTTCTAAGACAGCCATTTTCATCTGACGAACGCTGAAAATTTTCCCAAGTTGCTTTTGAAACCCAAGCATATATAAGTTATTACCTCTAAATAAGCGAAATGAATAATTCAATTTTTGTACAGTTTATGATCACTCTCAGAAGATAGCTCGAGCCGAAAAAACAATTTTTGGGTTAAAAACTTCAGAAAATGCTGAAAAACGTCATTTTCTTTTGAAAAATTGAATGCTGAGTTGAAACTGTTTACCAAATATGGTTTGGACTTTGGTGCTGCGGCAGAACTCCAAAAAAAGATTTTAACTAAAATTAGAAACAAAAATCCCAAAAACCGCTTCTTCAAAAATTAAGCATATAAGCGCCACTGATCCGACTCTTTCCTGTGGTTAGAATTTTTGATTTCTTATATTTTTATATCTCTTGTTCGCCCAAAATTCATCCCTAAAACTGGTATCGAGAAAAATTGGCTCGAATTGGCGATCAGTTTTTCTAATCTTTTGATTGTCAATTCAATGGTCTATGATATACAAAATTATCGTTTTGTGCTAGAAATGAAACTTCTTTTCATAAATACACGTTATTCCAGCTGTTTTCTTTTTAGTTTACCTTAACGCGTCAGCCGGTTATATAGTCAACCTCGAAATCTGTATTGCTTAACTTGAGATTTTTATAGTACGTTTCATAGCAATGGAACCTTGACCATTGTGTAGTGATTGTCCGGCAAACATAGCAGCAGTTATAGCTTTTGACAAATTCATCCGAAACGACTTAAACTTTTTAAACTGTTCTGACGTTGAGACAATAAAATGGAGCTAAACCTGCCCTAGAATTTTTAAAACTGCTTTCAAACTGTCAAAAGAGCAATCCAAAAAGAATGATCTTTTTGGGAGAGTTTCATTTTTGCCGTAATTTTTTTTTCGTTGAACAACGATTAGCCATGTAACTTTTCAGAGAAAAAAAAACATGAAACGCCGACGAAGAAGCAAACGCAAAACTTCAAATAACTTTTTCGATTTAGTTTAATCTAGAAGATCAGAATTTTTCAAAAAAATAATGTGTTGTCCGATGAATTCGCTAAAAGCTACAAAACCACATAATTCTTTTGATTTTGATTCACGGATTGAAGTGGCTCAGGTCTTTTTTGATTTACTTTTTTTTAAATAATAAATAATAAGAATATTTTCGATTTTGAGCTTGAAGCGTCAAAATCTTCAGAAAAAACTGATATTTGAAAAATTGAAACAAATCTGCAGAATTCAAAAAATTATTGAACCATTCACTATTTATCTTTTCTAAGGTATCGATAGTTTTCATTATAATTAATGATAAATAATTGTCTTATTAGTCGATACGAGCATAGAGTTTCAAAAAACATGCTATGATAAAGATATACCGATAATGTAAGTTTCATGCACGGCGTTTTTCCATAAATCAAAAACAATTTTAGGGGTTAGCCATGTACTTTTGATTTTTGCTAAAAAAAGATCTAACCAAAGATTTTTGCAAGGTAAAATTAACACAAAGTAATTAAGCGGTAGTATTCTCACATAAAGACAGAAGAAACTTCTATCTAAATTTCTATCTATCACCCATTAGGACGCCACTGCTCCAGCTATTTCGTGCGTCAAGGATTTTTTGAACTGCTTCTTTTCTTTTGCTTGCCCATAAAAAAAACATTCAAAAACTGGTATCGAGAAAAATCGGTTTGAACTGACGATCATTTTTTGAACTGAAGATATTTTGATTGTCAATTTGAACTGAAGATATTTTGATTGTCAATTCATTGGTCCAGAAGCGAAACTTCTTTTAGTAGTTAAACGTTATTTCACCCATTTTTTCTCAGTTTTGTTCAATGTGTCAGCCGGTTGGATATTCAACCTCTAAATCTATATAGCTTAGCTTGAAATTTTTATAGTACATTCCATAGTATTCTAACCTTGACCATTGTGTGCCACTTGTCCGGCGATCAGAGCAGCAGTTATATGCAGTTACAACTTCTGAGCAATTTATTGGACAACGTCCTAAATCAATAAAAATAAATTTAACCTTAAGACATTGAAATGGAGTTAAACTTGCAATCGATTTTTCAAAACTACCTTTGAACTGTCAAAAGAGCAATGCAAAAAGAGTGAGTTTTTTCGGAGAATTTCTGTATTGCCTTATTTCAAGAGCACAATTCAAAAACTTTTTCGTTCAACAACAATTTACCTTGTAAGTTTTCAGAGCAAAAAAGACATCGATAATTTTTGTTATATCTAATGATAACTAATTGTTTTCTAATCAATACAAGCGTAGACTTAAAAAATTCGTTATGATAAACGTTAAACGGATAATGAAGTTTAGTGTACGGTGTTTTTCTATAAGCCAGACATTTTAGGGATTAGCTATGTACTTTTGAATTTGGTCCAAGCCAGCTCTAACCAAAATTTTTGCAGAATTGAACAGAAATATTTAAGCGGCACTCTTCCCACATGAAGACAGCAGAAATTTCTATCTGGGTTAAGGTCGTTGAATATAAACCAAGTTATACAAAAAAAACCAATTCTTTTGTAAAAGTTTTTAGTAAAATTTTGTAAAATTACTCTCAAAAAACTAAGTGGTTGAAAATCAATAGTTATTTCAGAGATTTATTTAAAATATCAAAAAAAAATCAAAAGCAATTAGATGCACAAAAAAATTCCACTGTTTTTTTATATTGTTTTGTATGTATGTAGTCCGGCTACACTTTGTATGTAGTCCGGCTACACTTTTCAAATATTGCAACCAAAAAAAAACAATGTTCAATAACTTTTTCTTTGAGGATAGCCGTTTACTGTGCAAGCAGCACAGCTTCTTCCGACATTTTTTTTTCAAATTTTTATCGTTTTTTTTATTCGAGGTGGGTCAAAAGGAAAAAACAAAAACCTACAATTAGGTAAAATCTACGGTGATACCAAAACGGCAAAACGGGCAAACTGGACAACAGTTTTTAAATAACAATGACTAGAGAAAAATCATAAAAACCAAAAAACAAATCAGTTTATTTCAGTTTCTGCCAAAAACTTTTCATAATGGAGGTGATAAAACACTTCAAAAACGAATCAAAGTCAAGTAACACTAAAATTGAGAATAAAAGCTGTTGTAAGCGGCGTAAAGTAAGCATAAAAAAGCATGCTCGCACAATTTACTTGCTCGAAACTAGACGAAAATCTATAACATTCAAACTTTTTTTCGACACTGGAAAAATAGAAATTTATAATTCTCGTTCGAATAACAACTGAAAAGGGCTTTATTATGATATTTCAGTCAAACCATTCCAGTGATTGTTTTTGACACCTTATTTTATTCTGGAAATTAAAAAGAGAAAAGAAATAAATAAACTAAATTACAAATTCTCCAAATAAATTAAATTACTCATTTTTCGAAATCTTGGAACAAAACTTGAATTCATCATAATAATTGGTTTCAAAACCATTTTACTAAAGGAGCAAAAGAGTTTTCTGAGCAAATGGGTTTATAAATTACATTCAAATTCCCGTAACTTAGCGCGCATTGATCGGAGATGCTATCTTTTTTTGATTTTTTGCTCGAAACGTTTTAAAAAACTGCTATTTGAAAAATTGACTTTTGTGGGCAGCAAAAAAAATCATTTCCAGCAGTACCATTTCAACACTTAAGAGCGAGAGTTGAAACATCGAGTCTTGTGATATTGACTGTTGGGAGCGGAAAAAAACGAAAAGGGAAAAAATATGTAAGGTTGAGAAAAACTTTCGGTCCCGAACTTTACTTTGTAACCAGATATTTTCAAACAGCATCTTGATAGTCTCAGCTCAACTTAATAATACAAGGCTACAAAGGTACTTCTAGTTCCATATGGGTTGCGCATCGAAGTTGAAATGTTTCCGTTGAAGCCTTGTTAATTTTTTTGAGCTTTTTACCCTTGTGGAATCTAGAAACCATAGCCATAACATAGCGCAGCTCCGAATGCTTGCTAAGTGCTTTTTCATTCGTTCCTTCGATCTGTTTCTACTGGTTACTTTGGTTACGCGGAATCTTGTACCTGCCGACAATTTTACATTACAAAGTATTTTGTTTCTGAACTTCAAACACTTTGAAAAATGGTTTTCACTTACAATTTGTCCAAATCAATGTCCAAATCTGTGAACTTTTCACTTACAATTTTGTCTGGCTGAAAAGGTTGCCTTAGGACTCCACAGGCATCAATATCTATATCTCTGATCCAATCTAGATTATAATTTGACCTTTTTGCACTTTTCGCGTCGATGTATAAGCAAAAGCTCCCCGCCTCTAGGTCTGGCAGCTTCTTTTTCAATGAAAAATATCAAAAAAATGGAAGTTTTTTGCACAATTTTGTTCCAAGTTTTGAGATAAAAAACTAAGAAACATCCCCCTTGGGGTTCTTTTTTTCAGTAACACCTATTTTGGCGATTGAGTTATTTATTAAATGGTTATTGGTTAAATGATAATTTGAATGACACGCTACCCGCTGCGTTTCATTTAAATTAGGGGAAGAACCTCTCGACCTCGCGAGTTGTCATTATAGTAATGAAAGATTTTATTTTGTCTTGGTAGTCAATAAGAATGTTTATGACTAAAGGGTGCAAGCCAAAGAATAGAACGTAGCTTGGTATTGACTAACCAATATGATAAGTAGAAAAATACATAAAAGGTCAATTCCAAATTATTTTCGACTCTCGGAGAAGTAGTTCCCACTCTGGCAAAAGTTATAAGACAAAACTGATGTGGTAAACCCCGCAATTGAAATAAAGGGAGCTAACTGTATGAAACTCATAGGCAGATACTACAGAAGATTTGACCCGGGCATTCAAAACTCCGGAACACAGACTCTCCTGCCCCAAGAGATAACGGTTCCTAGAAGTGCAAATTGCCCTATTAGAACTCGGTATTAGCGATTGAAATTTGACGTAAATTTATTTTGTAATAGACCTAGTTGAGGGAAGCTTAAGTTTGGAGTCCCAGACACCCCACTGAACACGGGCCCCACGTTTCGAGCCCTACTGAGCACAGGCAGCAAAAACCTTGAGATTTGATAGGTAGTGACAAATTATATCTTGTGTTATGATTTGACCCAGATCTGGCGGTTAGACCGAAAGTTATTAGCACTTGGGAAAAGATCCTTAAGCCAAGATAGGAAGTGTACAAAAAATAATGAATATGGGCATATACACCAACGCCAAAAAAGAGACTTTTTCCGAGTAAAACCCTTCCGATGACTCCTTCCGCTGCAAACAGCCTTTTCCCGGGAAAACTGATAGAGGACCTTAAAACTAGGATAACATGGGATACAATAAATTTTAACCCAAATATGGATGGTTAAGTCCCGGCGACCCCTGGGTGACCGTTATTGATTTTGAGCGTTCAGAACAAAAAAAATGCATCAAAAACTTCCTCACTAACGCTGGAAAGTGTTGTATTTCCCAGCCCCAATCCTTTGGAAACGAGAATGGGCCACCTGACTTGTAACTGGGAGAGGATTTATCTTTTGAGAACTGAAGCAGAAGCTGAAAGGTACATAGTTTTTACCTTGTAGCTTTGAACTTGTGGAGCTAATTAGAGTGTACATGGCAAACATTGCGCTCAGTTTAGCTTGGCCAAATAGCCATTCAGATAAACTAACCAGACTAAACAAACGAAAGGCCTCAACAGGAGCATATCATGGCAAGTAGATCACCTAAATATCATGGAATAACGTGATATTTAATTAGCTCAACAGAGGTGAGCTTTTTGGCCCAATTTGACACCTAAAAAGCGAACATCGTTCCCCTGATAGCTAGAAGGTTGGGCTTGGATTATAGATGGAAAAATTAGTTGCTCGGAATCATCGAGCTACCGATAAAAAAATCTCTCTCTAGAACCAGGAGGTCGGAACGTTTTTGAGAAACGTAACAAAAAAAACTTGGGTGATTTAATGATTAATCATAACATGGATTGGAGTTGAAGTTGGAATTCAAGTATTCACAACTTAGTTAGAGATAACAACAGGGATGTTTAAGTCTTAGACTAGTGTCGACAGAGGAAGAACCCCGTAGAGACCTTGCAAATGGGGTACCAATGTAAAATGTCAGACATTTATGGACAATCATAACTGTATTTTTTTTAACTAAAACTCAAAAAAGACAAATATTGCGGAAAGAATACGGGTAGTCTATCCTTAAGTGAACAAAATTTAGCTACCAGTGAGAGTAGTTGGGTTCTCATTATTGATTACATATAAAAAGGAGCTATAAAAGTGAACAAGGTGTTCTCATAAGAGTTGAGACACTTTTTTTAAGAAATAACAGAAATCAGTAAGAGTACTTCAAAGTAACGGTCATCTGTAGAGTCACTATCATATTAGCCGGTCAAATTGAGTAGTTCTTTGGAATTACTGTGTAATTGGTTAACTAGTGATCTAGAAGTACGGAAAACAGATGGCGGACCTCTTCTTTGATCAGATTTTCCGATGAAACTCTGGCAACTTAGAGCCATTTATATTTGGACTTATTTTCTCTGAATTTATTAACTATTGGAAATTTTACGATTGTATCGAGCGGACGCGACAGCCCTAAGAGCAGTACTAAAAAGGTGCAAGTAACATAATTGTACAAGTTAGTTGTCACCAACCTAACCCTTTCAGGATTGTGGTAGTAGTAAATCTCGGCCGCCCCGCTGAATTCACTATTCATGGGACACTTTTGCAATGTCCTAGAGCGAGACAGACAAAGAGAGAGAGAGAACGAACACAGAGAAGTATCCGAAGAAAATGGATCGGGACAATCTATTAGCAAACGAAGTATTCATCAAAGCGAGAGTTGACGATGTGTTTCTGCTGGGAGCTGAACTAGGAAGTGTATCTTGTTCGAACTGGATCAACTGTATTGAGCTTGGTGTAAATCAACTGTTCCATAGTGCCGGCAGGTGAAGTCGGTGCATAAAGGCCTGATTGGGCTGACAAGAGCGAGCTTTCAATTGGGGCAGAGTCTGCGGCGAAGGATAGATTATCGAGACTGACAAAACGCTAGATTGTATTTTTTTATACGAAGATCTGCTTGAGTTTCGCCAGTATTGTTGCCAGTTCGGAAATTCAATGGAAAGCTGAAAGGACACATTTGGAAACAATAGAAACCTAGAAGCCTAGCTATTTTTTAGATCTTTTTATCCTGGTGGAATCTAGAAACCATAGCCATAACACAGCGCTGCTCCTAATCCTTGCTGAGTGCTCTTTCATTCGTTCCTTCGATCTATTTCTACTGGTTACTTTTGTTCCGTGGAGTCTTGTATGTGCCGACGTTTTGTTTATGAGTTCTAAACATTTTGAAAAATAGTTTTCACTTACAATTTGTCCAAATCAAAGTCCAAACCTGTGGACATTTCATTTACATTTTTATCCGGTTAGAAAAGTTGCCTTCAATTTCCATAGACATCATTGTCCATACCTGTGGCCCATTACAAATTGAACTTTTGAGGAGCAAAAACAAACTATTTCTAAACATCGCGTCGATGTATAAGCAAAAGCTTCCCGCCGCGATTTCTGACAGTTTCTTTTTCAATAAAAAAAAATAAAAAAACTGAAAGTCAAGCAATGCAGCCAAACCCGGTAAATTCTGAGAAACTAGCGAACGCTCTGACGATTGTGCTGGACCAAATAACAGTTGGGACGAAAGAAAAATTATCAGTGCAAATTGAGGAGGAATCGAAAAAGCCGATTAACTGTATTGTCAACGAACGGACCACGACAACCGAGGTCAATTTAAGGACTATGATTTATTCGAGACGGATTAGCAATGACAAATCATCGGGCAGTAAAGTGTTGCGAAAGGCGGCCGAAGGACTAACCGTGGTCTACCCGAAGCAGCATTTCCTCCATGTGCTTGTCGAAAAACCTCTGGTTCAGATGGATCTGGAAGAGACCACTGAATTCCACATGAAAAACGTCTCCACTTTCATGATAATATAAATTTGCCCTCAGCTTAAGACGATCAACGGGAAGATTAACGAATGGTAGGATGATCAGGTTAGTAATCTAATTGTTTTGGGTCAAGCAGAAGCGAATTGTTACATTCACAGAGCGACGTGATTTGTTTGTGGTGGCGACCCCTGAGATAGATGTCAACGCGCTTCTGAGCCTCAAAAAACTGGAAGGATGACACATGATGCTCCTCGTACGTGCTATAGATGTGCTGCGGACAGGAACGGTGGGGACGGTTGAGGTGATCACGAAAGCTTTGAAAGAGTGGATGAAAAATTGCTTTGAACTTGAGCTGGCCCGGACAAGTGCTTTGTGTAATGGCTGAGCCCGTCAGAAAAGATGGCGTCACGCTAGGACCAAGTAGCAGTGAAGTAGAGTTTACTTCCCGTAACGAAACCCCTTTTTCCGACTCTATACCCAGCGAGAATAAAGTTGAGGTCGCAACCGAGGACGAGTCGAGCTCTGGACGCAGAACAAGATCAGCCGAAGCTCGCAGAAAATTTGTCAATGGGTTCTCGAATGACATGTACATGGACACATAACTTGACGATGCAATTGCCAGAATTTGCTGTGGTTGGATGCCTCTCAGACGTTTCAGCCGCGGCCGCCTGTATTGCTGTTCAATGGACGAACGATTGAAACATTCGAAGGAAATGTGCAAGATGTCGAAGTGGTTGGATTATTTTTTGTGAAACTTCAGTTTTGGACACTTAAGAGGACATTCTCAGCCGTAGTCATGAAGTACCACAAAGTTGACGCGGACAAGGTTGTGAGTATTTGATTGATGAACGAATGTTTGGAAATTTCTTTGATAAAAAATCGAAGAAATTTTTTACGATTTCTGTGCCAAGCTCGCTAGTTTCATTCGATTCGGAGTCAGTAGTTCGAAAAAGCAAAACAAATAGCCAGCTGATGATGGGACGCAACGTAAAGGAGCCACGGGTTGTGGTTCCTGAGAATGCGAGAAAGGAAGTGAATGTATGGACTCCGGTGGAGACGGTCGACAAATACTGGTTTCCTTGGTTTCCTATCAGAGCTTTCACGAATGGATAAGTCAATAACATGGCTGCTATGCAATGTCTACCGATCGATTGGATCAGAGACACCCGTAAGAGCGGCAGAGAAATTAATGAGACAAAAACAGGGGTCAATTTGCTTGTACTTTGCAAAAAGTCGATCCTGCTGCAGGTGGGGCAATTTCACATAAGGACTGATGTCATGGTAGTCAATGGAGTAGATGTTGATCAAACATTTGGACTCCTTTAATGCGAACGGAGCGAAGTTTTCGTTTTAGACATGGAAACTGAAGTTTTGAAATCTTGGCCGAAGTGCGGCAGTTCAATTGAGGTTATGTTCAAAAGTCTTGGGAGACTCAGGTTACGGCTCCAAAGCGGTATGTATGCCAGCAGAATATGCGTCATCGCAGCTGCGACTACAGTTTTTTGTGAGGCAGAGAGTGCAAAGCCACCAAAGCGCAAGGTCTGTCACCAAACTGACCAAGCAGTGCTGGTTGTCGACGTTGCCGAGCGAATTGACGATGAAGTTTCCGAAGTCAGCAGACAGGAAAAAATGTGTTAGCAAAGGAGAGAGAAGATGGTGGGGAGAATTGCGAACCCAAGACTATTCAACTTAACGCAACTGCCTGACGGAGATAGAACAAAATGAGAAGCCAGTCTATCGTCATAGCGAGGAGAATGCTGGTGTAAAGGCGATGTTCGACTGGGAAAAAATTTGAAGTGGCGAACTCAACGCGCTGAATTGGAGCGATGTCCCAATTCCTTCCAATTTTGAGTCGCTCAAATGCATGCCTACTGCTACTCAGATACAAAACACAAAGCGTTTTAACAATGTTTGGACAAGAGAAAACAGACGTTATAGTTTCTCCGAGTGGAAACGAGAAGGACGAGAAAGATTCTTCCGGCGAGTCTGACGATGATGATTCGGATATTGGGGAGGACGAGGTCGCAGCTAGCTCTCCCAGTAATGTGGATAATGGCTCTGCGTTTAAGCAGATGATATGTGAAGCCGGTCAAAGCTCACATGACCAGAACACAGACAAATCAGCAACTATTGAGCGGAATCAGGCCAAGAGATGACGGAGAAGATATGCCAACAAAGATTGTTCATGAACGTACGGGACGAGGGTTGAACGAAAATTGCCAGTGATTGGCCTTTTCGGCTCGGTCAGAGAAAAAAGTGGGGCCCAGATATGCTAGGGCCGCCTACTTTCACAGTTTGAACGATAGATCGAAAAAACTGCCTTTGCTAGTCAAAGCAGAAGCTGACTAGGGCTGGGCCACCTCGGAATGTGAGGCCGCGAGGCAGCGTTGGTGCTCACTTGATGTTTTGGAAGAATCGGATGACTGCATGGTGCCGCAGCAGGACTACTGGCACGTCGCAGGTAGAGGGAAATGACCATTGAAGGACACTCGAGGCTGGAGGTCGAAATTTAAAAAAAAACGCAGTTCAGTGACTTAAATTTGAAAACCCCTTTTCTAGTCGCAGCGGTACTACACAAAATTGGATAAAAAATGTATGCATTTTGATAGTAGGGTAGGTACATAGAGATAGAAAAAAGATTTTTGCAAACCTGAAAAGGGTTCAGGCAATTCATGAGGCCGTAGATTTTGGTGCTAAAAAATTAGAAGTTATTTAAGCAAGAGTCTACAGTTCCTAAAGCCCACGTTTCGCAACGTCCTAGCCTCAGTAATCATAGAGCTGTTAAAAAGGTAGGTAAGTATTGGATTAGAATGCGTGTTGGAAATTAGTGGTTGCTATGTTAAGCAATAGAGTGGGTTGTCATTTCCAACTGTAAAGCTCAGACTACCAAGTAACTATGTGAACATATATGTTGAAGATAAATTTTTCAGGTTAATGCGCTAGACAAGAAGACTGTAAAATTTTGAATCTAGACTTAAATAAGTAGATTTTTGTCTTAGGCCAGTAATGAGAAGAGAGCGCCCTTTCCCCGACTGAACCTTATACAGTAAAAAAAAATGGCTTTCGACTCGGTCGAAAGACCCATACGCTCAACGATGTAAAATCCCCTAGCTTCTTAGCCCTGCTCGAGGCGACACTCGAAGACGTGAGCTCCCAACATTTCGGCCAAAATGAGAAGGTCGGATCCGAGGGTTCCGCGTTGGAGGATACTGTGACAGGGATCGAACGGCGGGTAAAAAAACGGTTTCTGTTGGGCAAATTGCTACCGTTTCTGTTCCGCGAGCAACTCATGTAGCCTCGTGGATTAGTCAGTAGTCCCCGTAAAAAGGTAATGGATGCAGTCCATAAGGCAATTGGACCCGGGGGAGCGCACTCTAGCGCCAACGCCACGGGATTGCTTTCTATCGTCAGACCCAATCTTTGACAAGTGCGGACTCGTGTCTCCGGCGATAGGTGAATAATCTGCCTGTGGTTAACAAACATCTTGCGGTTTTCAATGGCCGCGCAGTCAATGCAAAGGGCCCGACAGTTTTGACGGTCTTGACTTAGGTGATCTACCTGGTGCCTCGTGCAGACTTTTCGCTCCAGTCGGTGATAGCCTCCTTGATGACTCAAAGCGAAAACATGCACCTTTTTGATTCACGAGTCAATGTTCCGTTTGTGTAAATTGACCTTCTCGTCTCGGTATAATTTTTGACGTCTAAACGTGAACTAGGAAGCTTTCCTGCAGAAAAAAAAATTCCCGTGGTATTTCATTTAGTTTAGGGGGAGGACCTCTCGACCACGTAGGTTATCCATTTGGCAACCAAACATTTCATTTTTGGGCTATTTATTCCCTTTTATTGATTATGATTTAAGGGTGCGAGCTAATGAAAAGTACATAGCTTGGTATTAACTAACCAGTTTGATTAGTAGAAAAGTACAAAAACTGTCGAGTCCAATTTGAGCTGGACTCCGAAAAAACTTTTTTCCCTCTGCCGAAAATTATAAGTCAGAACGGATATAGCCAATATTTCTTTGGAAAAAAGGTACGGTAACTTCAAGAAACTCATAGGACTGTAATTAGAGATAATTGACATCGGGCATGCAAAGTCCAAAACCGTTACACCCCCTGCCCCAAGTGATAACGGTTATCGGAAGTGCAAGTAGCCCTGTTAGAACTCGGTAATTACCAGTTGAAATACGATCGGAATATAGCATGTGATAGAACTATTTGAGGAAACTCTTAGTTTGGAATCGCAGACTCCATGAACCCCTATTTCCGGTGTTGTGTCCTAAGCAAATAGTCTCCAACACGACTTCCGGAAGTCGTCTCTAGGGCCCTATTGAACGCAGGGAGCCAAATTTGTTATAAAGTAGAAAGTGACAAAGGACATCATGTGTTAAAGTTTGAGCTTGATCCGGCGGCTGAAACCGAAATTTTTAGCACTTGGGTAAACAACCTTAAACCGGAAATGGTGATTTTACTGAGCATGATAAAACATTGAGCTGAACATGATAATGTTCTGGCAGCAAAAAACAGTATACATCAATGCCGAAAAATACTTCATTTCAGTAAAACCACTCCGGTGGCTCCTTCCGATGTTGATAAACTTTCCTCGGGAAAAGTAATGAGGGACCATAGAAATGCGAGAGAAGATTGTAATAAGGATCAAACTTGGTAGGTAGGATTTCCTTGGGATTCTGAATCCAAATTTGGGAGGTTGATCCCAGCTGACCCCGGGGTAAGGTAACCTTTTAATGACCTTTGGGTGTTCAGGACAAAAATTGCCTACGAAAACCTCGGGACTAACAACGGAAAGTGGCGTGCTTCCTAGCCCCAACCCTTTGGAAATGAGAATCGATCACCTGATTTGTTATTGAAAGGGAGCTTTACTTATTGAACACTGAAGCAGAAGCTGAAAGAATTGTAGTTCTTACTTTGTAACAATGAAGTAGTAGAATGAATTACAGCTGAATTGGCAAACATTGGATTCAGCTTAGCTTGGCGAAAAACTTAATAGTAGAAGCTCAAACAGATTAACGAAAAGTAGTCCCAGAGAACACTGGAGGTATTAGTACTATAGCATTGGGAAGTATAAAACAAGTATAGCTTAAACAACATAGACGGACGGGATATTTACTTGTCTTCCAAGAGTTGGCTTTTTGGAAAAATTTGACCTCTAATAGGCGAAAAACGTTCCTCTGATAGATCGAAGGTCGCTGAAGGAAAAAAAGATAGAGAGAAATTTCAGATGCTTGGAATGAGCACGCTACCCATGAAACGAGTCTTCCCTATCCCTGGGAGGTGGGAACGTTATTAGGATTTTTAAATTAAAACATTGGATGTCTTGTTGATGAGACATAATTTCTTTTAGAGGTTAAATTGGTTTCATAATTGCACAAGTTAGTTAGAGATATTTATAATGAAGTTGGAAAAAAGCACTAATTTCGGCAGAAAAAATCTGGTAGAGACCTTGCGAAAGGGGTACCAAAGTAAATATCAGGATATTTAGGCACAATCATAGCTGTAACTATATTTGAAACTCAAATAAACAAATATCGAGAGAAAATTACGGGTAACATATTCTTAGGTAGAACAAAAATTAGCTACTAGTGACAGTAGTTGGGTTATCATGGTTAAGTAGATAAAAAAAGCTATAAAAGAGAATAGGTATTTCTCAACAGAGCTGAGAACAGTGATTTGTGTAATTAGAGAAATCAATTAAAGAAGCTCAAAAGAACAGTGATTCGTAGAGACACTATTAACTTTAGCAGGTCTAATTGAGTATGTGTGCAATTACTGTTTGTAATTCGCTAATTAGGATTCTTTTGAGAGAGAGAGAAAGAGAAAACCGTTTAGTTGAGTTAGTTGAAAATTAAATTGCAATTAGGCAGTTGTGTTGATTGATCGCGAACCCTTTCCTTTTGATTAGATTATTAGGTTGTCTACAGCCTTCGATATTTGGACTTATTTTCTCTGAATTTAATTATTATTCGAAATTCTTGTGACCGAGCGGGAGAGGCAGCCCTGAGAGCCGTTCAAAAGTGGACAAGAAAGAAAAAAATGTAAAGAATAGTTGCCACCACCTTTCGGAACCGTGGATAGTAGTGAATCTCGGTCGCCCCGCTAAATTTATAACCCAAGGGACCACTTCGCGGTGTCAATAAGACACACACACACACACGCGCGCGCACACACACACACACACACAGATTGAGAGCGAGAGAAAGCGAGAAAGAGAGAGAGAGAGAGAGAGAGAGAACGAAAGATCGAACCAAGAGAAGCGATCCCCTAAATCTACAACTATTAAAAAACAGGTCTTAGTTAAATTTTGTTGACAGAAGGTGATTTTGTGTTTTTGGGGCTTCCGTGAAATCAAGTTTTGACAAAAATGTCAGCGCTTATGGAGCGGCGACAAGGTTCATATTTCACTCGAGTCTAAATAACCAACAGTGAGTCTAATGGTTGAAAACGTTTAATACACAATCTGATTCCTCTGATAGAATACAATTTTACACAATTTAGAAAAATTAATCCATCCAAATCAAAGTAAAGTGTGCATCTGAACACTTCGCAGACCAAGTTATTACTTATTAATAGTATTCATAGATAATATTTTCTATTTCACAAGTAACATAAACTATCATTCAATCGGTTTAGAACTAAGATTAATGGCGTCTGTTAAAACAATGCAAAAATAGGTACTTCTAATTACATTCATTTTTAAAATTCATCTCACGTCATCTGGAGAATGAAAAATCAAAACTAGCGGGATTCGCTTCAAGGACTGTTGTTATCGAGACCAAGATTCTCCAGATGATTTGGCAAAATAGAAAAGTGTATTGCGCTTAGTTTATTATGGCGATGAGTACTCGTAAGCTCTGCATTTTCCGAGGTTCTGTTTAGAGTGCAGATTTTTGAGTTTCTTCAGTCGCATTTTGTTGAGGGGAAGGACAGTGTCGTAATTTTTAACGTGGAAAGTGTTCTGTGCGTAGTATGAGTCACTGGTATCAATCAACAACGCATAATCTCTCCCTATCTCCATGTCTCCACACTGACACGAAATCATGATCTGCTCTATGAATACAGTGAGGGGCTTGTTGGGGTTGTAGACGAAGTCAGGGGGGTGTCGGAACAGCCATTCGTGGGGCACTTCGATGTTGAACTGGAACCAGGTGTTGATCTGACGACGCTCAATGAGGCGACCGGCGAAAACTGAAACCAGAATTTTTCAACTTAACTGACACGCAGTATATTCCATATAATAGCTCACTAAACAAAAACTAGCTTTGAAGCCTAGTGCTCAAACATATGTCTTTTCATTCCATCAGATTTTTGACTTCAAAGCCTTTCCGAAGATTTGTGGAATTCGGTGCAAAATTTACGAAGTCTAGGGTATTTATTTTAGATCAATTCGCTTCGCTTGCGAAGTACCCGAGCTCAGCGTGACAATGTGGCGTGTGAAATTTTTTTGACTTTGGTAGTTTTTTCTTCAAATCCCGACTTTTTTAGACCAGCAATTTACATTTTTGGGCTATTTTATACCACCCTGTTTTATATCACTCTTTTTGAAAACTCTGCAGGCCAAAAAGTTTTTAAGAAAAGCATTTATGATTTTTTTTTTTTTTTGGTTAGACGGTCAAAATTAGGTTTTTTCAAAAAATTAGACCTCATGTATGTGCTCTTGGGGGTGGGGGTGTCATCCCTTTTGTCGTAGCACTCCTACGAGGCGGATGACATTAGGAACCCTCCGACCGCAAAACCCTATCTTTAGTTAACAATGGCATTTTCGTCTTCAGAAAATGTTGGCGTTAAAAGGAAAAACTTCAAGTGAGACTCTGCAACTGAATAGGATCAAAGAACTTGAGTTAATTGAGATTGAAGGACGCGACGAAGTTGAACTTGAACTAGGGTCACTTACTGTATGACTGTGTGCAATATCTGGTCTTGGACAGTTTCCGGTCGTCGCTCTTGCATACCCGCGGGTGACAGAGGAGAGAGGGATCGAACACGGGGGAACTCACAGAGGCCGCTACACATAGAAACAAAACATACAAACTCAGCATTAAAAACAAAAGACAAAATCAGTTGATTGTCAAGAATGTTCCATTAATAATCAAGGCTCTTTTACACTTGTCCAGACCCTCACAAAATTGTCTAAGAACAAAAGACAAAATCAGTTGATTATCAAGAATGCTCCATTAATAATCAGGGCTCTTTTCCAGTTTTCCGACCCCTCGAAAATATTGTCTAGAAATTAAATTTGCCCTAGCAGTTGACAGATTAGAAGTGGTGCAAAAATATGTTCACTTATGTATGCTGGCAGGTTTTTTTGGAAAAGAGCCATAATCAGATCAGTGAAGCGTTGTTTTTATAGTGTATCGAGGAGTTTTGCAAGGGCAAGTATTAAAATCGCAAATGTTTGTCTTGTTTGCCATGATTTCTTTTTTTTGGGGGGGGGGGGGGGGGGGACAGAAAAAGTAAGACTGTTTGTTTAAGGCTTTATTGCTTACGTATGCAGGGTGCGAACGGACTGGATCCCTGGACGTATCCCTCTGCGCACTTGTGACATGTCCTTCCCACCACGTGGTCCTTGCACTGACATTGACCCGTCTTCTGGTTGCACACTCTGTTCTTACTCCCACTTGTGTTGCAGTCACAAGCCACACATCTAAAGTTATAACTTATTATTAAAATGGTTATTGTCTTAAGTACAGAGTTTTACTATCATTTTTTTTTAATTTTCAAATTTTTCGTCATTTTCGTTTTAAGTTAAAAAATTATTTTGTTTATCCAGTCAATTTCGCCAATCCTGATTTTTTAAGGTGATTTTGGCGCCAGTTTCCATTTACCTCTAAAATTTTCTCATGCCGGATGTTTTTGGAATATGTTCGCAAAAAATTTTGCGCCGCCAAAACTTTTGAAGAAAAGTCTTTCAATGAGGAGCGAATGTACAATTTTCTCAAAGAGGGCTTTTAAAAATGATTTTTTTTAAGTCGACGAAATTGATTTTCCGAGCTCTCTGAAATCACTATTAAGATATATTTTGACAAAATTTTCTGTACTGCAGCCCAAATTTAGAAAAACAAGAACAGACCGATTATAGGCAATTTTTCAAGGTTTTGACCAAAAAATCATGTTTTTTGGCACGCTCCATCCGCAAAATTTTTATAGATTGGTACCAAACACGCCTTTAAAATGATTTTACATGAATTTACTTGAATTTACATGAACAGACATAACAGACTAGTGAAATTATATGAGAACACAAGTGAAATTACATCAGAAATCATGTGAATCTTGATGAAATCTCAATTTCTGACATGTGTTTACACATGAGCTGACATATGAATTCACATGAAAAAAAAACATGTAAATTAGACAAAGAATTTGGTGGGGATTCAAAAAAAATTACGTAGAAAAACATGTGACTTTACATGTTTGGACAGGGGCGGATCTAGGATTTTCTCGAGGGGGGGGCGGATTTTCAAAAAATTTTCGAAAATTTTGACCTTTTTTTTTTTTTTTAGGTCGATCAGATTGATTTTCCGAGCTCTCCCAAAGCAATAAAAAGACCCTGTTTTGGCCAAATTTTAAATTTTCTACGCCGGAGGCAATTTTTTGGGTCAAAAAAGCCGTTTTTGGGCACTTTTTGGAAAATTTTGACAAAAAAATCGCGTTTTTTTTTTGGCGCGCGCTCCCCCTCAAAATAAGTATATATTGGCGCCAAAGGCGCCTTTAGAAAAATTTTAGGGTCGGTCGGCCAAAAATGGATTTCTTAAAAAGTACCAAAGGTTTGGACATGTGAATCAAATATGACACGCAATTTCTCCCGAGGTTTTAATCACATGTGACGAATATGTGAAATTATGTAATTTTTTTCTTAAAATTACTTGTTCATTTTTTAGAGTGCGGTGAGAGGGTCGAACCCCTGTATACGCCGAATCCTGTTCAATTTTCTTAAAACCGCCCTTGTTCATGCCCAACATATTACTGCGAGCACGAATGCTAAGCTTGATAAATAAAGATTACATGCACCTGTCTTTGGAGTCGATAGCCACATGTGGATTGATGTAGTACTCATCTCTGCACACTTCACAATGGTTGCCGGCAGTGTTGTGCTTACACTTTCTACACACTCCCCCACTCACAAATCTACTCTCTATGTACTCCTTCATGTTGAAGCGACACTGCCTCGCATGCAGATTGCACTCACACACTATACAACAAAAAACAACAAGGTCAACGTCAAGGTAAAATTCGAATACAGGCTTTTAACCCCCAAGCTTGTTATCATTTTTTACTTCTTCAAAACCTTTGTTACATATTTAAGCTCTGATGAAAGTTTGCATGATTTGCATGACGACTCACTTCATTTTTTTAGTTTAACTTTTCGACAAAAAAAAATCCGATTCTGTACGGAGTTTTTGAGCCGAGGTATTGAAAAAGGTAGTTAACATTTCAGTATTTTTAATCTGCATTTTTTCCGTGAGTGATATCAGATAAGTCAAACAGAGGTGAAAAAATGAACAGTCATATTGACTCAAAATGTCAAAGATAACACTCAGTATGAATTTTGAAAGCTTCAAGCACAAAACAAAGTATGTTCATGCCTACCATCAATAACTTCAAGGCTCCTTGGAAAATAACAATAAATCAACAGTTTGAAAAAGTTGTTGGCGAATTTAAAAATTACATTCGGATTTTACTCTCTAAAATGTCTAGTTTCAACAAATAAAAAAACTTGGGATAGTTTTCAAAAATTTTATTAAATTCTTTACACCAACCAAACGAAATCGCTTGAGCTATCCCACCTCGACGAAAGTATCCGCCCACATCCTAGCTTAAACGTAATAACCAATTTTAACGGATTATTATGTTAATTTTCAACGATTATAATTGAGTATAACTATCAAAGTTAGGTTTTTGAAAGATTTATAATCAATTACAATCGTGAAGTTTTCCAAGAGATTATTATCTCTTTTTTCGATTATAATTGATTATACTTCATGCAAAAAATTCTTTATATCAATTTTATTTGATCAAAATTGATCATAAATGATTATAATCACCTAACTTGGCAAAAAATTTTGTCACAGCTAAAATATTTTTCAATTTTGTTTTATCGATTATAATTTTTTGTCAATAAAGAAATCTCGAGATGTGAAAAATGCGGTCACACTTTGGTTCATTTGAACACAAAGTTTTACCACGATACAAAAATTTTCATAGAGATGCCTTCATGTTAGTTGAAAAATTCCAATGGTAGGTGAAAAATAACTCTCTCAAATAAATCATGAAACTAAAGCAATTTTATTATGGGGTCAAACTGTGCACTTGATAGGCGCACAAGCTTGTGTCTGTTTGTTCCTGGATTCAAGAGTCAAGTCTTTAAACACGCTAAAATTTTGTCGGAATGATCAAAGAAAAAGAATTAGCAAAAGAAGAAGAAAGGGAGCACCTTTTCTCTGAATCCTCTTTGGCTTCGTAATGGTGCTTATATTGTGCTGATTAGAAAAACCTATAACGTGCATCATGAAAAAATTCTAATCGAGAAGAGATGAAAAATTAAAAACGTTACAAATTTGAATTGATTTGAAAACTTTCAAAATAAATTTTTCATTTTGCGCATGAACCAATGTCTAAAAAACAAGGAAAAAATAAGCAATGCAGATACAAGATCGAAAATAAAATGTGTAAGCAGATTGGGTTAAAATTGATTCAAATTGTTTATAATGAAATTTTTGCAAAAACATATGAATTAGAAACTGAGATGAAAATAAACAATTATATTCGATTTTAATTTATTATAAATGTATCGAAAAACAGATAGAATAAAGAATGATTAAAATCAATTAAATTATATTATCATTGACTGAAATTTAATTACAAAAAGAGAGATTTTTTCCTTCTTAGTTATACTGGTACTAAAGTCATAATACTATCGATTACATACGCTTAAAACTGGTTGCGGGCGTTTTTGGTTTTATTTAATTGAAATTTTTTTGAGTCTGAAAATACCAGTAATCATTGTATGTCCTAATATTTCATCGTCGACAACAACTAAAAAGCAATAGCCAAGCTTATGAAAATTTCCACTCTGCTCAACTGAAATATTTTGCCCGCACTGGCGTTTCATGGATAAAAACCAATTATGTTAGACTTTTAGGATCAATATCCACAAAAAGAATAAATAATCAATTAGAATAATCAAAACTGGAATAAATTTTTATTTCTCCTCAAATCAATAAAACTAATATTAATCGATTTTAATGGATTATGATATTTTATTTACGTTGTCTATAATTTTCAAACAGAGTGTAGCGGTTCGACAAACTAACAGTTGCTTTTGGTTTAACAAAGTTTTTATTAGAAAGTTGCAAAAATGAAGCATAAATTAGCCGCTTCACTATTTTGTTCATATTTTTCTAATACATTTTTTGCTTTCTCATTTTTTTTTTATTTTTGGTTACACACTCCCTTATCCAATTTACTTGCCTCCTTGTCCCTCATTTTATCTTTGGCCTCTTTTTAGACAAAATGTGGGAAAATCAACTTCATTTTATTTTCAGAATCAAAATTTTTAGCCAATCTCACTTTTTTAAACTACAATCGCCCTTAAAATAACTACTTAAAATAACTTTTCATTCAATTTAAAAAAAAAATTCAAGCTTTTTCCTACGTTTGGTTAGTTCAAAAAAAAAAAACAGCTCAATTATTCGGCGAAAATTCCAATATATTTTGGGAGGTTTTTCCGGAAAGGCCCTGTTTGTGTTCTATTGTGCAAACATCTTTGATGTTATTACATAACAGTTACGATGACCCCGTTAGTTAAGAAACCATTTAATCGATATTAAACAATTAAGTAATTCTGAAAGCATAGCTAAAAATGCTGTGACACCATAAGTTATTAAAAAAGAAGACGATTAGTCTCTAAATGGAAGACAAAAACAAAATAGAGTTTATCATGGTACATTTACAATGTAACGGTTAGGCCCAGATATAAGCTTGGAACAAATTCTTGCCCAAATACAAAATTATTGGAGAACTTCTAATAAAAAGAACGGCAGTTAAAATTTGAAATTGAACAAAAATGAATGTTTGCTAAACACAAGGCAAAACATTTTCCGACCAGTTCTCGTTTGTGTTTTTTGGCTCGCAGAAACTTTTTTATTTTTTTTATAAAGATTGATTGAATCAAGACTGAAAGGATCAAATATCAGCCAAACTCATCTGAAATTTTTGAGTTGTCTGATTAAGCATGAAAAAAAACATACCTGGAACACTTCCGAGCCGGAATAACAGGCATATTTGGTGACTGGAAAAGTAACAAGGAAGGTTTTCGCGGCGTTTATATTATCAAAAAAATGAAGCAACGAACTTTTTTTTCAAAAACTATATACTTTTTTATGCTTTCTAAATAACTGAAGGTTTTGATTGGAACATTTGAAGCGTCAAAACTAGCGAATTAAACAAAACCATAAAAGAAAAACAATTGGAGCTGCAAATCATCTTAGTAAGACTTGATTTTCTGTGTCAAACGACACCACCGAACTCAAAGTTGATAATTTCAAAGTATATCGCTGCGCTGTCTTAATACGAAATTCAGAAAATCTTGATTTAAGATCCTACTAAACGATTTTAAGCTGTTATCTTCTGACCAACGTAAGTGTTTCATCCAAAAACGTAGATACCTTTACGCTTAATTAAGGGCGGATCTACGATTTCTCAAAATGGGTTTCAAAAAATTTGGAAAAATTGTCGACTTATCTTTAGATCGACCAATGAGATTTTTTGAGTTCTCTCAAATCATTATAAAGACCCTATTTTGACCAAAACTTCTGTACCGCAGTGAAAGTTTTGGTTTAAAAAAACAGGACAAAAAAGGCTTTTTGGACAAACACTTTTTGAAAAGTTTTTTTTTTCCAAAAAATTGCGTTTTTTGGCTCTCTCTATGCATCCCTTTTTATAGGGTCGTCGGCCAAAACTTGATGCCTTAAAATGGTACCAACATAGCACCAAACCATATACCGATTACAATAGGTGAGTGGAATTTTTAATTAGATCAAAAAATTAATCATCAATACTGACTGCGGCACTCGTTGGCGTTGTCCAGCTGTGCTCTTTTCCAGGGTCTGTCTTTGAAGAAGGGCGCACATCTGTCACAGTCGGGACCACTGGTATGGTGTTCGCACGCACACACATATTCGCCCTCCTCATTCAACTGACACCTAGAATGATGAAAAAGGGAAAGTCTCGTCAAGTCTTTTTTAATTCACCTCCGTTTTTTAAAAACTACAGAAATATAGTGTTTCATTTTTCTTTTTTCCAAGGGATATCAACGATTTGAAGTCCCCAATACGGGAAAAATACCTTAATATAAACTTTTTCTAGTCGGCAGCTGTTCACGTGAACAGAACTTTGGCAAGTCTTCTACCTTCTTACAGTACGTATTGGCGGAATCTCACTCCAAAAAATTCTGGTCAGCCAATCAGAATTCAGTATTCAAAATTTCGATAAAAAAGCGTGAAAATCTTTCAGTTTTGGATAGTTGTTAGGGGAGGCTGATTGTTGGAAAATTATTCAGTTTTTTGCGAATTCGATACTTTTGTCACAGGAAATCCCCCCCCCCCCTAAGTTTTTTGCCATATGGGCTGTATCCCCCAATATCCCCCTCCCCCTTTTACCTGCCAGCGTGTCCGTTGCACTTGCACACTCCCCCAATCTCCAGGTCCTGTATGGCATACACGTGTGCCCTGTCGTCCCCCTCCCCCAGTCCACTGTACTTCTGGCCCACTCTCTCATCCATGCCCCCCAGCATCAGCCGGATGTCAGTGGCGGCCATGAAGTCCTGAATCAGAGCAACACGGTTTGGTTAATTGTGGTTTGTGCAAATCGTAGAGGAGTTATCAGTAGGCCTTATAGAGAGATGCAAAAAGTTGGAACAGACAAAGTTGATTAAAAATTGAGAAAATGATTTAGTTCAGAAAACGTTTGAATGCGAAAGCTAACTTTTCAGACAGAAAATATGACTCAAGGTCATCTAAATCTTCAATTTGCATACAAAAATTGCTCAAAATTCGCAGATTGCTCTTTTAAATTATTTCTGTCTGCTCCAACGTTTTGATACTAGATATAACAGCCATGTCTAAGGCTAGTCCATATGTCAACGAGTTAACCCACAAAGGCTTGTCCAGCGTTATTGAGGGATTTGCTAACAATAACTCAAAAATACACTAGATTGTCTCGGTAGTTATTTTGTCGAACCAAGCTCTTTTTTGCGACTCAAGGCCGTTTTTTTGCGCCCAGAATTTTAATTGGTACCACTATTGCTGCCAAAATTGGTCAGACTATGGTAGAAATGAAGCTAAAGGTCGAGCTAGAGCCCGTTCTCAAGCACCATTATTGTCATGGCAAGGAATCGAACACTCGATCTATCGTTCGGAAAAAGAACGCCTTGCCACAAGGCGAAGTTCCTCTTCACTTGTTTAAAATGACGGTCTGTGTCGGAACATCTAGCGCGAGGTCACTTCTATTCCGAACCTGCAATCTTGTAAGTTTTTTGTGGAATCGAGTGAGATCTAGCTATATAGCAAATCTTTCTTTGCCAACTAAGAATAAACCATTAAAGTATTAATATAAAATTAAATGGGTCTGCGACATTAGTCATAGTATATAAATATAGTATATAAATAAAATCTCAAAAATAGGATTTCCAACAGAATTTAGAGGAGTTATTGTCGTGTCCATCGATAAGTATATTGCATCAAAGTATATTGCATCAAGTCTGACCCAATTTTTCGGGCCCGTCAATTTAACTTCTTGATGTTTCAACGGGATTCTATTTCAAATGATGTTTTTTCTCATGTATTACAATCCGGTAAATTGTCATGATGGAAAATGGCATGGATTTGCCGATTTGATGAAAATTTCTTCTATTCTTGATTTTTTGCCGGCGGGACTCATAAGCCGAACTGTTTCCTGTTTATTCTTATGTCCCCTGCTGAATCAAATTCATTTATGGCAGGGAATTGATCATTTGTTTGGGCTAGCTTACTGGTTCCAAATTAGGCGGAGGTGTTGAAATGGACAGGCTTCTGGCGGCCACGATTTGTCTGCGGATCACCTGGCCGGGATTACAGTTCTGACCCAGTTTAGACACAAAGACGGGGCGCAATAAAAACAGAGTCTCTCTTTCTACCCTTCTACCTATTTGTCTCTTCCGGGAGAAGCTTGAGAGAGGGGGAAGGGGAAAGAATTGAAATAGAAGTGTGAAGTGAGGGGATATAATAGCGCGGCTATTATTTTGATCCCTTTGGAACTTTCAGCGGGTGGGGATTAAGTGGGGAGTTGGATATTGATTGGATGGGATCAAGTGTCGCCGTGCTCCTGCTGGCAGCAACACCTGTGGATCCACACTTGATCTGATAGCACTTCAATTTAAAAGCAAAGGGGTGAGGGCTGTTGGCGTCACATTCAGATAGACACTTTTATTCTCCACTCTCTCTGCTGGTAGGGAGATAGACACTTATCGCACATAAGTGAATGACATAGAGAGAAAAGTAAGAATATGATTTTTGAAGGCGGAAATTTTTAATCTAATTGATTGAGAAGAATTTCGTGGAACGAAATGAAAAATTAAAATTAAATAGTTTGGAAAAAAAAACTAAAAATTGGTGATGGATTTAATATGACATCAATTTAAGCCGATCTAGCTTTAAATTTAACTTGATTTGTTTTACAAGACGAATAAGTTGGAAGACGGGAATTCAAAAAACTGTACTCAAGTCATCGTTCAAAATGTCTAAAAGTCAAACATCAGAAACAAGGATAGTCGAATGCCGTGCAAGCAGCACAGAAAATTCCGACCCCCAATATGAAAAAAAAAACTGAAAAAAAAAAATGGTTTTCAGTTCTGCGAAAATTTGCTAGGGGTGTTAATAAAAATAAAATTAATTGGCATTTCTGCGATTCGCAGAGGATCTATGAAAAGCCTCGCAGCCTGTCTAAGCATAGTCAGTTTCTCTTATTTCCCCACATTCCAGACTGAATTTTTTGTTGAGCGACGCTCTTTTTAAGCAACTCAAGGTCGTTTTTTTGCGACTAGAACTTTCATTTTTACGTTGTACCACTATTGCAGCCTAAATTGGTCAGGCTGTGGTGGAACTGAAGCTGGAAGTCAAGTGAGATCTCGTCCTCAGAGAGGATCTAAGATTTTCTCGAGGAGGGCGGATTTTCAAAAATTTTCGAAAATTATGTCGACCTTTTTTTCAGGTCGAGACCAAATCCGACGTCTTCTTCCAAATCACTAAAAAGACCCTGTTTTGGTCAAGTTTTCTGCGCCGCAGGCTAAATGTTGAGGTTTTTAGGCACTTTTTGGATAATTTTGACCAAAAACTAGCGTTTTTTTGGTGCGGCTCCCCCCTCAAAGTTAGTATATATTGGCACCAAAGGCACCTTTAGAAAATTTTTAGCGTCCGTCATCAAATATGAATATCTCATAATAGCACAAAGGGAGGACCCTTTGGGTCGGGAGG